TTATGAACCTAAAATCAAGCAATCTGGTTGGTCAATTGCAACTACTGTAGGTACTTAATGATAAGAGAGCCACTTATTTATTGTGTATTTAAGCACTGCATGCATGAAAGTGTTGTAAAAATAATCATGTTGTGATAGTTTAAAAGATATTCAAAACACAAACAGAAACAGCATTTGAACTATTATAGCAGCCAATAAATTATGTGTAAGTAATGAAACAATGCATATATACAGTCAAACCAATACTTTATCTACTTTTCTTACTGTAATAAGTATTCACTGGCATATAACGTTAAATTGATTAGAGTAATTCAATAATACAATCTACTGAACTTACCAGTTACGGTTGAGGTATCAGATAAAGAGAATATCCCCATTTCAGCCATTAAGCTATCATTTGACTGCATGGCAATGCAGGCATAGAAGCCAAAATCATCATATTCAATTGAATTAAATGTTAGCATGGAAGTATTAGAGTAATCAGTAGCATAATACTCTATCATGGTATTGCCAATACCTTCCATTGTTTCATTTAGATCAATCAGTTCAGTATTATTCACAGGTACCAGTAGTTTGATCCAAAAAATGCTTGGTATGGGGTATCCAGTGACCTTACATTGTAACGTTACGTTATCTCCTGATTCTGCTAAAACTGACTCTGGGGAGAGAGTGAAATAAGATTCAAAAGCCACAAACACTGAAGTGTTGAGATATCTGCCACTATAGCTTTCTGCTTTGCAAATATATGTGCCACCATATATGGAGTCAGAAGGTTCTTTATAAGATATGGTGAGGTTTTGAGTGTTTTCAACTGTGTCATCATCAAAAATCCAAGTGTAATAAGCAGCTAATGGGGAAAAGCAGTTGAGCTCCAATGAGTCTCCAAAGTAAATGATGTGTGGGCCACTTGGACTGATTGATACATGTTGCGATGCACCTGAGATGAAATAAAAAAGGAATAATATTAATTAGCTTAAATATAGGACTAGATCTATTAGTTACACGAGTGTAGATCATTTCATTTCTCTCTTCTCTCTCTCTCTATGCAGAGAAAATTATGATCTACAATTATAAATTATCAATAAAGAAACAAGCATACTCACATTTATAGTTTAATACAGCCAAAGCTAACAAAGAAAGCACAAAATGCTTGATTTTGCACCACTCCTGCATAACCCTCTCTTTCTTTAAGCTGTATGCAGTAGGTATGGCAGCAGCAATCAAGAGAGCTAGCAGAAATGAAAGCAGAACTGTACAACAATTGTTATTCATTGATGATGTCAGTCATTATTTTTATTAAACCACTTATTTTAATAATCAACAAAAATGAGAAAAAGGAAACAGCCAACTCAAGTTATAGCTCACGGCATATGTCATTACTCATTAGAATAAATACAACAGTTTTTTGTTACACAATTCACTCAATTCTAGCAACTCTGTCTGGCAGCATCAAGTTTATTTTTTAGAAGTCTTCCTGGCAATCCCCACTTCTACAGAGACACAACAAATTCACCCAGCAACCATTTAGAAGACAACATAGAATTTGTTGGTTGATGTTGCTCCCAAATACTTCAGCATTGACATAATAAAACATTTAAACATGAGCAAAATATAGTTTTTGAGTAAAAAAAAACAAATGTATGCAACTGTACAGTCACTAAAAGTGTTCAAAGTCTAGAGCTTAACACCTAGTACATCAGGCAATGAGTAAGAGCCATTCTAATGATAAGAGAAGAGAGAAATAAAAGAGCTCTTATACTATAGCACTACCCAGTACCATAACCATTATCAGATATTAACAATTGCTCACTAGGAGCAAACCACAAAATATTATACCCACAAAAATAATCTGCTATACAACAGCGACAGTTACAGTGACATGCATATAACTGTTTATTGTAGTAGGATGATTGGTATTATTACCTCCTTTTGATGTGTTTCCAGTAATGCTATTAAAGTACGAGGGACAGCACAAGCTGTTCCATTAACCTAAAAAGGAAAATAAACAAGACAGCTATAACTTTAACTAACTGTGTGCACGTATTTCCAATCAGGACATGTTTTATATTTAGATACAGGAACATCTTTCATTCTATAAGTTATATTTAATCTTTGGCTTTGATAATCAGTGCAGTTAGAAGCACTGGTAACCTACATACATAGCAGCAATAACACACATAATAATAATATATGGAGTACAAAGTACATGTACATGTATACTCACTTCTCCATATCTATTTAAGCCAGGCATCCATGCTTCAATGTCAAACTTCCTATAAGCAGGTACTCCTAAGTCTTCCGTGGGCATATCTAGGACCCTATGAATAAAATTAATAATTTTCCAAAATTCTAATGTACATGTTCTCTTGTTGTTATCATTGCCACATGTACATGTACATGTATATGAGTCGCATTAAAATTTGAGTTGATTCTGATCAATATTAGATTTGCTCAAAAATCGGGCCAAGGTCCCTGTACAAAAAAGTACAGGTTCTCAGGCCAAATTTTGCCAAAATTTAAAAGGAGAGAATTTTTGATTTCTATAATTTTTCCTGATGCATATACATGTAATTAATTTGCGTAGAAAGTTTGAACTGATTCCAATCAAATTTAATTTTTTATGAATTTTTAAAGTTACTCAAAAATCAGGTCAAAGTCCCTGTACATGGTCTCGGGCCAAATTTTGCCAAAATTAAAAAGTAGAAAATTTTACATTTTTATAATTTTTTCTGATGCATATACATGCACTTAAGTTGCATAGAAAGTTTGAATTGATTCCGATCAAATTTGAATTTTTTTATGAATTTTAAAGTTACTCAAAAATCAGGTCAAAGTCCCTGTACTATAGCACATGGTCTTGGGCCAAAATTCGCCAAAATTGAAAAGGAGAAAATTCTCCATTTTTACAATTTTTTCTGATGCATATACATGTACTTAAGTTGCGTAGAAAGTTTGAACTGATTCCAATCAAATTTAGATTTTTTACAAATTTTTTAAGTTACTCAAAATCAGGACAGTCACTGTACTGGGATTTCTGACACTCCCGGATGTACAAGTACACTACCTGCAATGAAGGCCCAGTTCTGTATTGATCTCCTTCTGGAGTGCCACCATTTCATCAAGGAGTTCCTCACTCTCAGTTCTGTCTTCATTCGCTGTTAAACCAAAGAGCTCGACCTAAAAGACAAGAAATAAAAGAGAAACAAAAACCAGTAATCAATTGCCTTTGAAAATTGGTGGACTCTATAAAGTCTTCCTTCACCTCTACCTCTACCACCTTCATATAATGCAAGAGACAATTATACGTAACAACAAATTAGTGATATAATAATAATTATTATTATAGCATAATGATATACATGTAATAATAGATACTGGCTTACCAGTTTCAACTCTAAAGCATCTACCAAAAGCAACAAGCCTAAAATGATAATAATACAACACTATAATATAAAATAATGTACCGTATAGCGGGAAATTATGGAGGGGTTTAAATTTGGCGAATTTGGTATATTGATAGTCATTTGCCAAAATAAAATCCGCCATTTTGAGCCATTATACGCATGCTCAATGGCATGTGGCCACAAATTCGCCAAATTAAAATTCACCAATTATCAAAATTTAGCAATTTCGCCAAATTTTAGTTGCTCCAAAATTTCCCCCTATACAGTAATACTATGACTTTACTTTATTGGTAGATCACTGTATAATACATTTTTGTTAAGATACATTCCTAAACCAAATAAAAGATGTTTATTATTATTAACAGGGTTTTGATTAGCTCTAACCTGCTAGTGGGATTTCAGCAGTCCCACTCAAACACTTGTCCTCATTAGCAAGTAAATAATACTGGTTTTCCCCACTACGAGCCTGATAACCACACCTATCCTATAAGCAAGTAAAGCCATAAAAATTCTTTTGTAATTTCATTGGCAAACTCACAGCCACATGTGTTCTAATGACATCTGGTGTAGCTATAGGATAATAACCCTATATAGTGTAGTAGGATTGGATAATGTATAGTGGAAAATTTTTGAAGTAGTTAAATTTGGCGAATTGCTTAACTTTGGTGATTGGTGAATTTCAATTTGGCAAATTTGTAGCCACGTGCCATTGAACATGCACATAATGGCTCAAAATGGCAGATTTATATTTTGGCGAATGGCCTTCAAAACGCCAAATTTAATTCTCTCCAAAATTTCCCACAATACGGTATCTCTGAGAAGCTCACATTCTTGATGGCTTTACTCATGGCATATTGTATCAGTGCTAGCTCTAGTACAGCAGCTTCTCCTTTGAGATAATAGAAACCTTCTCCGGAGCACTGGGCAGCAGAACTATGAATATTGAATTGAGCTTTTAATATTAAATTTATTCTAATTTAAAGTTATTTTACTTACGGGATATCAAACAGATCATGTCTCTTTCCGAGCTCTTTGTAGTCAAGTGGCGTAAAGTCACGACCTACAAAAATAGAGTGACTAATAAAAATAGCCTTAAATAGGTGATGTGGTTATCAGGGAATTAAGTAATGCTGGAGTTAATTCAGAACTGTCATCAATGCCAATAAATTTTAGCATCTGAGCAAAAATACTAAATTATAAGTACATGTACTGTGCATGTACACTATATACATGTAATAACTACATAGCTACATGTACATGTACATGCATAGGAATTTTTTTCGAATTTTCATAGCTTTTTATAATTTTTTAATCGCAAAAAAATTATATTAAAGGTCGCTGGCGAAATGTAGGACAATAAGATCAATGCTACTAGTAGTACATACAATGTTTTTTATTGAGATATTCCACTAGTCTTGGTTCATGACCAATCGGCTAGAATAGAGAATGGGGGCACATAAGAGAAATAGTTTCCATTGCTAGCTAACCGCATCAGGATGAATATTGTTAGGAAGAAACGAAACATTGTGAATAAATGACTTCTCAACTGGATGCATCTCAGCCTATTGGAGATAAAGAAAGTAATAGAAAATGAACATAAAATAAAGAGAAGCATATGTGAGGATATTAATGTTATAAAATAATAATTATTACTTTTAAGTCGTTAAGCTTGCTCTTGAGTTGTCGCACTTGGTATATCATATCTTCTTTCTCATTATCAATCTATAATATTAAACACACAGATCCACTAATGAAAGAATATATGTGTACACATAGCAGATCTTAAATGATTATATTGGCATTATTATGAACAATACACATAATAGCAATGTAACATATGAGATAGTACATGTACATTGAGAAGACTAACTGTTGTAGATGATATAATTTCGCTTGCTCTTTTCTTTTCATGCTCTAAGTCACTGATCCTTTCCTGCAGTTGAAGGTACTTGTGGTACTCGCCTACCTTTCAATGGGAGAGCATTAGATCAACGTAGTAGACAATAAAAGTAATCAATAGCACAACTTTCTAGCCTTAAATAATAATGATGGAGTCAATCATATTAAAATAAAAATAATAATAATTATGGTATTACCATTACTATTAATTAATTGTGTACATTAATTAAATGGAATAAATTAAATATCGACCATTGTAAACTCTATTTCAGCAAAAATCCAATTTCAATTGGAATTACCTTCAGAACCACACAAGAACACTTGATTGTAATTTAGTGCTCCTTTACATAATGCCATTTTGTGTGGGCTCCTTTACATAGTGCTCCTTACATAATGCCATTAATAATCCAATACATAATGTCATTAGACGCCCACACAAAAAAATAAGAACGACCCACTTTAAAATCATCACATCGTACCATACCAAGTGATCAAAATCAATGTAAAGTTTACGAAGCTCCACGTTCTTCCTAGTCCTTTCAATGGTGTCCTCAGAGAGGTATCGCGTCCCAGCCTTGAGCAACTGCCTGTTATCTTCCTTTACTGAAGAAGAGGAGGAGAAAAGTCTCGATTGTAAGCATCTCAGTCCAAGTACAGACTTGTAGTAAATCCTCAGACTAGGCATCCTGTCCTAATCCTCGTCTATAAATAAAACAATATCAAGTTCAAGTTGACATGCGTAGGCTCACGTGTAAACTGTATGCCTGAATATTGTATAAATTTACAAAATTATTATTAAAATTTTAAAAATATTTTAAAATAATCAAATTTTAAGAATCTGCTCTTCAAGTTGAACTCTCTCTCTCTCTCTTTCCTCAAGCTGTTGCTCTTTTTCTTGAGGCTGTCGCTGAAGATCTTGTTCTTATTGCTGGCCACCTTCAATTTGCCTTTTAAGTTGTCGCTCTCTTTCTTGATATTCCTTAAGTTGTCTCTGTAAATCCTGCTCTCGTTCTCTGGCCTGCCTCTCTCTTTCTTGTCCTTGTTGCTGTGCTTGTTGAAGTTGTTGTTCTATTCCTTGAAGTTGTTGCTGTAGTCTGTTTCTAACTTGTTCCTTTTCTCTTCTCTCCTCCTGTAGTTCCCTTTCCCTTTCTTGTAGTACACGTCTCAGACGGTCTATTTCTCTTCTATTCTCAGGCTGAACAGGTTGAGATGCTTCCCATTCTCTTCTCCTTTCTTGTAGTTTCTCTTGATACTGGTCCAGAGGTATTACACTAGTAGACCAATCATTATCACTAGTATATCCTATACAGTAACAAAATAGTCAATGAGTTAATGACAAGTACATGTACATGTACATGTATAATTTGTATAATATCAGCTACTACTGTAATATGTATGTTAAAAGGGTTAACCATACAGTTGATTTACAATTGTTATACAGTATTCAATATGTGCAAATTGTGTATATTCAATACATTTCTATTCACATGCACTCACTGAGTTCAATAACTGCTATATCACTTATTGTCAAATAATCTCTCATTCCTCCAAACACAATTATCCAGTTAGTAGTTGGTGTCACACTCCACACTGAGAGAGAATGCTCTCGTCTATTAGTGACAATGTCTGGTATATTAAACTATAAAGGAAAAAATACTTTAGCATAAAGAATGATAATATTAATTTTTGTGCATTATTTTGTCCCATCAATGAAAATGATTCTATACAGTACTGTGTATTAGCAAAATGGTATTAGTCTAGTATTGGTGTTCGTCTATTAGCTAAGTACAATGCTACTTATATGTACATAATAACAGGGGCTTTGTTGTATTCTTTGTATACTTACCAGTTGCTTCCATGATTTATTGCTAATATCAAATATGACGCAGTCGTAAGCACCAACTCCACCCACCACTAGTAAGTGTGGTCCTGAACTAGTGGTAATCAGTACACTGGAATGAGCACGTCTTCCCTTAGGCCATTGTACTGATCCACCAGGATTAGATAACTTTAAACAATTCTAATAATAAATTTAATTATATCATAAAATTCTGAATAATAATACACACATATTATTGTTATGTAATTATAATTAATAATACACTCACCACTGATGTATCAGTGAAATTAAGAATATATACATTGTTACTGAGTCCATCAGTAGTGTCACCTCCAAATAATATAGCACTGGAATTATTAATTGATGTTAAAGTGAATTCGTCCATAGGAGGTGGTCTGTCTCCAGTGACAGTCAGTAATATCCATTGTCCTAAAAATATCAATAATAATAATAATAATAAGTTTGAATGGAATGCATTTATGGGTAGAGTAAACTAGTTCATATTTCTTTGATTATAATTATCAAATAATTAGGTATGACGATCATGAACAAACAAGCAAGTAATTCTCAATGCTAGATATATTCACCAACTAACAATACTTCATTACATTCATTTTCATTAACATAAACAAGTTGAACTCTAACCTGTTGAGAGTTTATAGTAATTGATCTCATTGCATCGTTGACGATTAAAAACTAATCCTTCACCACTGTACTGGGCACCTGGGTGTTTTGGTGTATTATATAAAAATGATGGTCCATATCCTCCAATTACTACAAGATAGTCCTCACCGCTCACTTTTATTGCTATCATGTCACAGTGGGACTTCATCATAGGACCATGGCGAGATGTAGAAGGAGAGAGTTCCTTCCAGTTGAAGGTATCAACATTAAAACTGTTTACATCAGTAAATATCATTTATTATAACTATTATGTTTACCTGCACAAAATGTTATGATAACATGAATCATGATTACAGTAGCCTCCGAAATAAAAAATTACGTTTCCAATGGCAGCAGCAGCATAGCCTGTAACACCGATCATAGGAGGGTTACCAGTGGTGGGTTTCTGCTCCCACCTACCAGTTCCTAAGTGACACACCTCCATCACAGAACACATTGATTTCTTCTTTTCACTGTCGTGTATCATAGGGAGATCAGGCTGGACCCCACCCCACATGTACAGGTAGTCTCCAACCCGTACAGTGGAGTGATCCCTTCTCTCTCCTGGTTGATAGTCTATAAAAATTTAGAAAATAAGAGGTAACAGCAAAACTGAATGATGCACTAATAGTAACAAATAATCAAGTAGAGTCAAAATACTAACCTGGTGCTTTTGCCATAAAAATAATAGTATTAAATTAAACTACTCTCTTTTTCTCTAGTCTACTATTTGATCGAGCTATTTCTATGCGCTGCATGCATATTTGATTTGAGACAACGCCCTTTTATGACGTCATAAAACATGATTTTTAATTTATGACGTAATCATCTAATTGCAAGGTAATAAGAATTATTTAGAGATTGTTGTGAAAAAAAGTCACTGTCACTGATTACAATGAATAAATAAAATATATAAACTGACAGCTACATGGTAAACATTTGTTCTTTGTTTGTTTTTGCTGGTAAATGCATCATCTACCATAGAACATCAGAGTATATCAGGGGCGTAGCCAGGGGGGGGCAAGGGGGGCAATTGCCCCCCCTTTTTTGAAACTCAAAATTTAAAAATAATCAAATAATAAGCTGCTTTTGGATGAAAAAGCTGTTCTACAACTTACATATGAAAGGAAAAGGCCAAAGCAGTCTTTCTATGATGCCATTATAAGGCTGAAAAGGTATTCAACGTTGCCTATGATCGATCAAAAAGTCCGCCATGTTTAAAAATAGGTGTGGCCACGCCCCAAAAGGGCGTGGTTCCGCAAAATTTCGCGCCGCACTTCGCGCGCCGCACAACTTGCCCCTCCTTTCCAAAAATCCTGGCTACGCCACTGTATATAGACATCATGTCTTGAGGAATTATAGTCTATTTTAAAAGTATTTCTGTATGCAAACATGCATACATAAATACTCATCAGTAAGGGCTTAATAATAGTAATTAAAAATAAAAATAAGTCAGAAATGTATCAAAAAATGTAATAGAAATTGGAGGTCATTTTGGAACCAATTTTTGGAAAAAACCATGGGTACAGGGTAAATATTTTTCTAAAGTATGGAGTTTTTAAAATGATCATAACTTGAGAAATTTAACTGGATACCAGCTCAAACTTTTTACATAGCGTAAAGACATCAATATGCATCAAAAAATGTAATAGAAATTTAGGTGATTTTGAAGCCAATTTTTGGAAAAAACCATGGTATTCAGTTTTCCAAAATTATTTTTGGCATTTTTTAAAAATGGCTGTAACTCAAAAATTCAAGTTGGAATTAGTTCAAACTTTTTTTACATTAGCATAAGTACATCAATATGTATCAAAAAATGTGATAAAAATTTATTGTGATTTTTGAGCCATTTTTTGAAAAAAACTATGAGCTACTAGTACAGGGTAATTTTAAAATATGGCAAATTTTTAAAATGGCCATAACTAAAGAAATTTAGTCAGAATCAGCCAAAACTTTCTATATAGCATAAGGACATCAATATGCATTAGAAAATGTAATGAAATGGTGATTGAAACCATAATAAACATAATAAGTAAAAAAATAATAATGATATTTACACCATTCCATTGACTCAATAGTGACACTTGTTCATGTACTTCCATGTTCTCCTCTGGTGTCTTCCTTCTCTAGACCTGGCATATCCATCTAAAAGAGAGAGAGAGAAATAGAGTGAGAGAAAGGGATATAGGAATGAGGGGGGAAGAGGAAAGGATAGTTAACCTAATATTATCAAATTTTAAAGGTTCTATTTAGCACAGTACATTATAATACATGTACAGTATACATTGTACATGTACACAGTACACACACACATTCCATTACCTCAACTCTTTTCAGTATTTTATTATAAAAGTATTCCTATTGAAAAATATCCAAGAATATATGTATGGTTGAAATTGCTAGCTAACCCTGATAACAAGATGGCAAGGGGCTCAATTAGCACACAGCCTGGTGGAGGTGAGCAAACTTCATAATTATTTTAATTTTAGATTAATCTAAAAAGATTTCTTAAACAAAATTATTGATGCATAAAGGCATGTCACCAGTAGCCTTGTGATTCTAGTGACTGCTTCATCAGGTGTACAAATATTTGCAATGCAATAACATTGATAGTCCTGTATAGTAACTGTAAGAGGAGTATAATAACTGTATTTTCCCTCATCAGCAAAATATTAATAAATCAAACACTAAAGCAGAAATATTGAGATCAAAAATAATTCACATTAGTTGTCATACCAGTCACACTTACAAACAAGGACAAAAATGTATTTAATATAATTTGCTAACAAAAATGTTAAATAAAGCATTCACATGTCACTATAAACAAGCTAAAAAAAACTAAAACTAATAGAATTAGTTTATTTTTTTTTCAAGCTATTGTTATCCTTAATACGCTTCCCAGCAACCCCAACAGAAACAGTACCACCTCCCAATACTCCACCCACACCAGCTCCAATACCAGCTCCAATACCAGCTCCTATTGCAGTGCCACCAACAGGTACAACAGTACCAATAACAGCACCAATACCAGCACCTAATATAGTTCCAACACTAACAGAGGCCAAAACAGCTCCTACTTCAATGGATTGACGGTGTTTTGCATATGCTTTTAAGAAATGATGTGTCTCATTGCTGGAATGATCAATGCATGTGTCCCATAGTGCTTTTAACCAGTCATTTGTTGTAGGTAATACCTTTTCCTCTTTTCTACCAGCTATGCAATATGGTATTTTTTCCAATATTTCCTTTTTAACACGACCAGGAAGAAGATTAACCAAGCATGTTTTGTACTCAACAATTTTTTCTTCTATTGCAGCCGTTGGGCCCATAGACATAGCACTATCAAGAGTAATGAATCGATTTGCATGTGTTAAAACAACAACTGTCCTCTTCCACATTTCTTTATGTAAGACAAAGGCCAGCTCTAAGAACATGCGGCGATTAACTCTGTCTTCTAATTTAGCACATATGAGGATTAGATCATACTTATCATGCTCATCAATTTGATACAAGATACTAAAATCAGTTCTGCCTTCAGTATCACCAAAACCAATAGTGTCAAAAACTTTTACTTTAACACCCATGTAATCTCCCTCATGAGGATGTATTCTAGATGTGACACCATAAGCTCCATGTCCAACCTCAGCTACATCCTTCCCAAACATTGCATTGATCAGTGAAGATTTACCAACACCAGAAGGACCAATCACTAATATAGTAACAGGCCTTCCTCTATCACGTAACGCCCTTATTTTAGGATGATCATTGCCACATTCTTCTGAATTGCTTTCAATGTTCTCATCACCATAGACTGTAATTTCTATACTCTTATCATCTTCTAATTCTTCATTCATATCAGCTCATCTAACTGGCACAAAAATGAACAACCAGCAATAACTGCTTCATCAGATGTACAAATATTTTTAATACAATAACTGTAACTGAGGAGGAGTGGAGCTGATGTGGCTGCACTAATAAGACCTTTCAACAAGAAATGTCAATAAGTTAAAAACAAAAGCAGAGAATAAGTTAATTCATTCCTTATCAATCAACTCTGAGCAACTAGTATATATACTATGATGTTGTGCTACCTTTCTACCACCCTATCCATTGACTATAATGCTGATTTAACTAGACCCAGCAGTTCTACACTGATATAATAACGAGTTCCCGAGTGCTCTTAACTTATCACTAGTTAGCACTGATAGTGTAGGATCAACATCAGTTGTATCTATTAACTGACTACCTTCAGAAAACAACTAGTAATACTAGGACTGTATGACATCTTAATTATGGACTGTTACCAGTATTACATGGAGGGTTTCCCTTGAAAGCATGTTAAATGAGCTAAACAGCATGAGCTTCATGAGCTGACAAGCACTACAATACAGTACATGGCATTTGGACCAACTTTGAAATTGATCAATTTTTTAAATGATCATAACTCTAGAAATTTTAGTCAGGATCAGCTAAAACTTTCACATGACATAAGGGCATCAATATGTACTAGAAAATGTAATGAAATGGTGATTGAAACCATAATAAACATAAATAATAATAATAATACTAACTGGATAGTAAAATTTTAAAGGTTCTATGTAACACAGTACATTATATGCAGATGTATAGTAAACATTGTACATGTACATGCACATACACATTCCATTACCTCAACTCCCTTCAGTATATTCAGCAGTGCTTTATTATCATAATTTCTTCAATTGTGATAACAGGCCCAGTGTCTCCTACACGTGATGCTTTAATACTTCATGGTCCATTCTTAACTTCTCAGTCTAATGTATGCAGTCAAGAGTACATAATACATGTGCTTTTGATGCAGTAGATAGATCTCTTAGTTCATCATTCTTAGTGACCAGCTCTAATTTTAGCTTATAGTATTGAAATTCACATACAATACAATTCATATTATTCTGAATAAAATCTCCAAATTTTTATGCCACAGAACAATGCAATCTAAACAATCTAGTCTACCTATATAATCCATTATTATGCTTTATTGATCAAATCATAGTTGGCCTGTATCCACACCATCATGCTGAACATCAAGATTACTGCCATACTTCTCACTGGCTAGATTAATGATTTCAATGAGTTTGTTATAGAAAATCAGAAAAAAATGTTGAGATAAAATCCAGCACAATATCTTCACTACAAGCAAGTTATTATCATAAAACACATAATACTGTTGTACATGCATGGTAAACCCTGTGCACTGTTGTAGTGACCGAATGGAGAGAGCTTGACCTTTGTATTGTAAATTTTGACTTAATTATAAAAAGGCTAAAAATCTCTTCTCACAAAAATGAAAGAACACACATTTATATACATACAGCATTACATCATATTACATCACAATGACAAAACAATAATCAGTCTGAGTCAGCATACACGAACTAATAATAAGCACAGAAATCATAAGCATAAGAGCTACAAGGAAAAGAAATAATATTGTACAGCAATGCAAGAATAATAATAATCACTAATAATTATTATTGTAATAATAGTAATAGCAGTAGTAATAACAATAACAATAATAATAATAATAATAATAATAATAATAATAATACAAGAAATAACTGTAATCATAATACTCTAGAAAATAATAATAATAATGCATACCAAAATAATAGATCAATATATAACAACTGTAAGATAAATTTTGTTAATAATATATAATTTGTACTTGTGTTGTAATCAAGCTAATTTGTAATTGTAATAACAAAAACAAAATTATACAAATACAAAATTCAATTCCTTAGGTAATTAAAAATAGTATACAGTAGTTTCCTGTTACCAATTGCCATTATAAATTACAGGATGTCACATCTTTTATCCTCCTAATAAAAGTAATGTATATGTACCTGTAGTAAGTGATTATAATCTTACTGTGTACTTGTTGGGTTCACTAAGTGCAGTACTTTCCCTTGTTGGCAATGTTATGTCTTCTTCATCATCGCTCTATTAACATTAGGTATATTTTAATAACAAAGTCTACAGTACTTATAATCTTACTGTGGTCTGGTGCGGTTTACTATGAGTACTTTCCTTAGTCTGCAATGTTATGCCTTCTTCTTCATTGCTCTAATTTACATAAAGTACAATTCTAATAACAAAATCTTACAGTCATACTGGTGTTAATTTTGTTGTACGTGTAACTGGTCTATTCTAAAATGACATAAAACAATTATAAAATTACAGCTTGTGCATGCATGGTAAAATCAGTGTCATGCAATGCTTATAATCTCAGGGCAATAATCATACCAATAATAATGATAATAATGATGATGATGATGACGATGATGATGATAAAAAAATTTTTGTTCTTAGTTTAATCAAACAATTTATACAAATTCTAGTGCATGAATAATAAGGTCAGTTAATTGTAGCAATTAGCAAAATATAATTATTTATTTTAAGTCATGGCATGTAATTTTATTCCATTACTTTTATGATCTTATGCGATGGTCCTGGTGAATGTATTAATTTTCCTCTTATTAGTGCAATATTTTCATGTATAGAGGGAAAATATTCCTCCTTTAAGAGCTTGTTTGAATATTCCATGAGACAGTCATAGCAATAAGCATAAAACTGTAGATTAACAATAAGTCCCGGAGACTGCAAGTAATGATGATTAGCTGCTTGAAGTATGTTAATAATACGCTCTTTCTTAGCTCTTTGTAAGCAATAGGTTAATGTAGCAAAAATACCAATGGGACCATTAGAACCACTGTAAAAAGAGAGAGTAAGAGAAAAAGTACAAGGCTGGTTGAGCCGATAGTTTTTTAATTTAAGCTTTGAAATGCTAAAAATATAGTGCTCACAATACTTCTACACAACATAAGGGCATATAGCCCATGGTTTTTAAAATGGCTCCAAAATCATCCCAATTTTTATTACATTTTCTGATACATATTGATGTATACATTGTACTTATGCTATGTAGAAAGTTTGAGCTGATTCTGGCAAATAATTTTCACTATAATAAAATTTCTAAGTCCATGGTATAAAAATGGCCAAATATCTTTAGATGGCCATAACCAGGGGTGTCTCTAGCATCAGATAATTGTAGGCGTATAAGTGCAGGCCATTACTCAAAATTGTAGTTGGATTAGAATTGGTTCAAACTTTCAATAATAGCGTAATAAATACTGCGTGAGGTAGCTAGTCTTACTCATCATGCATCAAGATGGGATGGTTGCCATGGTGACAGGACTCCACCTGCACCAAACAATACTGAATGAACTTCATAAACTTATCAACTCTTGGAAAACAATGCTTCAAAAACATATCTTGATACTGAATGTATTTGACTCTCAACAGCATCGAATCCTGTAAAAACAATAACAACAAAAAACAAATATGCACATGTACATGTATATCTAATGAATAGTACATGTAAATAATTTTAAAAGGACTAAAATTTTAGTAATTCACTAAAATAAAACCATCATTTGACAACGTTGACATTTAAAAAATTAAACCTACCAATCACTATAAATCACCAAACTCACATTACCCAGTATGACAAATACTTTCTGATTTCTTCCATTCCTTACCTCTTCATTTCTAATATTAATGTCTCTTGTTAAAAAACCTGCATTAAACTCTTTTTTACGTCCAACAGATATTGTAATAGCACCAAATTTTAACCCAGTAGTGCCAAATTCAGAAATGTATGAATATGTCTATCAAAATAATTACATTAGAATAAACAGCAAATTTATCTTACATCAGCATCAGTAGGTGATAAGTTAATGATGTGAGAGCATTTTTTATGAATTATCAGTCTCCAAAAACATTCAGTGTTATCTTTAGTGGGGCATGGACTTTTAATGAACAGATTTGGAGTCCAATAACCCTGTGAGTAGATAGAGGTGTATACAGGTTAGAATACTGTATAGCTGGTAATTTTGGAGGGAGAAGTTTTAGTTTTTATGAACCAAAACTGAACCCACCATTTATGTACATGTACATCTACATGCTCAATGGCACATGGTCACAAATTTGCCAAATTAAAACCTGCCAATCATCGAAGCTTTAACAATTCGCCAAAAGTTTATCTCTCCAAAATTACCAACTATAACCACACACAGTAATTTATAACTAACATACATCAAGATAATGAGCTGTGAACATGGTTTCTTCACCATCTAAAAGGTTATAAAATGAACGTAGCAGAATAAATTTTTATGTGCTCTTCTTACATTCTCAATCCCTCTCTCTCTCTCCCTTCCTCTCTCTCTTCTCCAAGCTTACAATCAAAAGGTACCACACTGGGTCCTGAATAGGACTGAGCAGGTGGTTTAACAGCTCCTATTTTATTAAACTCATCAGTAATGAGTGTAGCCTCCTCCTGCGACTTGATATAATGATTACTAAACTCATCAATTAATGTTGACATATCTCCATACACTATGTCCTCCAATACTGCATTATAAATAAATACAAACTGACACTATAGGGAGTTAAGTTATTAACAGTTATTTAATAGTTATTAAGTGACGTACCAATTCTTGGACCATTTGTGTTCTTTGTTGCCTTAAGACCTTTACAATTCCTTCAATGTCAACTCTATTTTCTGACTTAAGTTGTTCCAGTGCAATATCTAATGCAATTATAGTACCAGTTCTACCTACTCCAGCACTGAAGGATGCATAAGAAACAAAAAGGAAACAATTAACAAAATAGGATAACAATATCAATGTTAAATTTACCCAGTTTTCACACTATTACACTTAATTGCTATGATTGCACATGTTTATAAATGGTCAATTTTTAAACTTGTCTTCACAACAAACACACACACATGCATTTATACATGTACATGTACTAGACATGTACACTACAAGCATCAGTAGCGTTTACCTGCAGTGTACTACAACAGGTCCACATTCTTTACTATCATTGGCTGAATTGATAGCTCTCATAAAATCCAATACATGAGAGGCTTGAGCAGGAACGTTTTTATTTGGCCATGTTATATAATGAAACTGAAGTATAGTTCTCTCCTTTTTGCCCCTGTCTCTCTTCTATTAATGCATGTACATGTAGATGTAATGGTAATGCAACGTTTTATAAATAGTAACTCACATTGAATACTTTAAATCCTCTTATTACGTAATTAGGTAATTCGATATTTCTATCAGCTCTAACCACAATATCACCATAGCAAACCTCATCATCACTGGGCCAATACTGATACAACAATTAGATGATGAATATTATCATTATCATTATTATTACTTTAAAAGAGTCAACAACATTAGTAAGCATTACTATAGTAACTGTCTTTTGTTCCCAAACCATTCGCCAAAAATTATCGCAGGTTTCTTTGCTAGGATATTGAGTGGCTATATACAACTTATCATCATAATACCCCTAGTATAATAATAATAATAATGATGATGATGATGATGATGATGATGATGATAAAGATAATAGTAATTACCTTTATGTAATTAGCGTTAATGTAATGAGAATGAGGTACTCCTGGTGTTTCCTGTAGAACAACTCTTGTATGATCAACTAAACAATCAATTAATTAATTATTAATCAATCAACTTTTTCATTACTTACATGCTCCAATGTCTTTGAATCTATTTTTGGTGTGATCATATTCCTGAGCCATCAGCGTTGCATCGCACTTATAATCAGGAGATGTACTATTAATAGACTGAGACAGAAATTATTCTATTTTGCATGAGCACTTATTACTTCGAATATCTCTTTAAACATTTCTTGATTATTTTTATTCAACTGCTCCACATGTTCTTGAAACTCAGTCCTTTGTACATTTATGCCTGGTTTAAAGACAGGGCTCATATCCCTTTCATCTATGGCAGTGCGGCTTTTACTGGCATCTGTCGAAATGCTAATAACATCTTCAGGTTTTGCATGTATATCAGACTCTATAAACTTTATGAACTCTTTTCCCTACATAATAAAAAGCACCATGTAATTTACAAAAATTTGCAAAATTTACAGAACTGTAAAAGTGCTACCTACCAAAGTTGCAATGGGAATGTTTCTCTCAGATGACGTAGTCTGCATGACTGAAGAAATTTCGTTAAGCATATCAGCAAAACCCCTCTATAAAAAGTCATCATTGAAACAGGGTTTCTCACAAAGCATGCTAAGTGAGCAAAAAGTATGCTTTATGAGCTTCAATATAGTACATAATATACAATGTATATATATATATACATTGGATTTAGAGTAACTTAAAAATTTGTAAAAGTCCAATTTTGATTAGAATCAGCTCAAACTTGCTACACAACATAAGAACATGTATGTGTATCAGAAAAATTATAAAAATAAAGAATTCTCTTCTAGTCGTTTTTGGCAAAATTTGGTCAAGACCCTGTATAGGGACTTTGGCCTGATTTTGAGACGGTAACTTAAAAAATATAATTTTATTAGAATCAGCTTAAAATTTCCATAAAGCACAAGGATATATGAATTATAAAAATGAAAAATTCTCTCCCAACACTTTTTGAAAAAATACCCTGTGTGGTATATGGTATACTTTAAAATAAAACCAGTATGCCAAAAAAATTTTGAAACCTTGCATTAAAAATTTATACTTACTGAGAGTGGTTCTAATTTAGCAGTTGACTCAATCTGTGGGTCTGGAAACATTAAAATACATTGAATTATTGTTAGAACTTATGAGAGTTATTCATACCTTCTTCTCTGGTGTCAAAATTCTCTGTAAAAAATACATGTAAATGAAAATAATTTCATACACTGAATTATCTTACCTTCCTCTCTTTGTGGTAATTCAATTACAGTAACTCCTTTATCTTCTAGCTTTTTCAATATCACTGGATCCTTAAGATCTCTCATGACATCATGAAGAAAAAATGGTAGTATAGCATAAGTGACAATAACACAGTTTCTTCTTAATTGTCCAAGAAATGCATAATATGACCATGAAAATTGACCAAAGGTTGAGACCCAAGTATAAAATCGAGAATGAAGCCAGGGGGAATCAAGACGAAAAGAGATACGAGGTAAACCAACCGGAGCATTGGGAGAAAGATCAGACCATTCTTGAAACAAATCTATCAAATTGTTACAGGAAATTTTATGAAGTAGTTCAGCGTACTCCTTTTCATAATTGTCAAATTGATTTGTAAGGCTAACGTCTTGCAAGATATGTTTCGATAGTCTTTTCAACAGATTATAATTGAGGTAACCAATGAAATGATTATCAATTAGGAAATAAAACAGGCTATCAAAATCATGAACCTTCTGAAGAGAATTGATACATATCTTAAGCATTGAATGATCTTCGGTTTCTCCTTGTAAAAATAATTTAATCAGCAGTTTAGCTCCTTCAATATCAATACTATGATGAATTAGTGATTTTCTCACTGCTACTACTAAATCGTAATACTTCTGTTTCAAAGAAAAAGCAACCAGATTTAATTCGGAATGACTTTTTATTTTATGCTCCATTTTATGTACACCTATACATGTAAAAAAGGTCAAACACATAGGCATTATAATTTCAAAACTATACTTCACACAAAATTAGGTACATTCCAAATGTGCTATAACTATAATGCTAACAATGGAAATTTCTCAACTCTAATCAAACACAGTGTACCATAGAAGTGGAATATTTTATTGCCATTATTATTTAATTTTTATGAAATCAATAAAATTGTTATGAGTTTTTCATTTACGGTTAACACATTTAAAGCTACTAACTTCATTTATGATTGAAGTCACCTTAAAATATTCCACATTTATGCCTTATGGCATTTTAAAATTGAAACAAATAATTCTTCAAAACATACCTAAAATCATGGGTTGTTGTGGACGATCTGAAGAAATAAAAAGTAAAATAAAGATTGAATACCAGTGGCTATACCACTGACATCAAAATTTTACCTTCATCAACTTTCAATGTGGGTGTGGCTACTGGCCTGTCTTGCATGATTTCACTTTTTGGCAAATTATGAACTAAGCATAAATAATAATAAAACAAACAGTAATTAGTACCATGTAGTTCCAAGCTTCCAATTTCTTTATGAAATTTTAATCAAAAATAATCAATTTTCAATAAAATCACAAAAATATCAGCTACATGTAGATCATGCAAATATGGAGCTACTTGACATACATCAAGAGTACATGATGGGCTAGTACTCTTGCTTACATGTATAGACCCTATAGGCGCTAATTTCTAGAAGTAATTATAGATATCATATATGAGACACTATAGAGCTGTTGCACAGAAGTAATCAACAGGGGGTGCGGCTATGATTGACCGCCATCTTGAGTGGCAAGAATGTACATGGAACAAATGGAGATGCAGAAACAAACTGGGATTTTCCAACGACGAGATATCACGCTTGGCTGTAGAATATTATGGAGAGTTCCTTACTCAATATCTTCATTTCCTAGCTTGCATTAGCCTGTATTGTAAACTGCAGAATTTATTTAGATTTTTCTCCATTCTCCCCATTCGTTCCATGTACATTCTTACCACTCACGATGGCGGACAATCATAGCCGCATCCCCTGTTGATTACTTCCGTGCAACACTGAGCTCTATTCATAATCTTCCGTGTACTATCTGCATTCTTCAATAAAAAAATTTCAAAATTCTCTTGCTGGACGGCAAAACCAGGCAAAACCAATGGACAGGAGGCCAAATGCAGCCTTTGTGGACAAGTCGCTTCAAGTGCAATAAAGATTTTTCTCAGGAGACATTCTGGGCTTTATTCTTTACCGTTACTGGTATTTATTGCCACTCAAGCAAGCTCTGGAAGTCACGAAGGCCTCTTGTCCCATGTTTCTCCATGTAGTTATACTGTATCTTGCCGTCCAAATCATGAGTGTGGGTGGATACTGTAATGCAATAATTACTTGTAGAAGTTAGCGCCCTATAAGGTCTATATGGTAATTTAAAGCATAGTCTTGTGCCCTGTCACTTAGAGGCAGTCCAGATGAGGATTGAAACTATTTAAATAGGCACATCTCACTTTGTTTTTCTTCATTAATACCATCAGCCACAGCATTCTCTCCCATTCCTCTAAGAGCAACTATTAGTGTATCTATTGTTGGATTCTCCACATCATCAGCTTTACGTAACCAGCTACCCAAACACTCTATAAAACAACGATCAACTTTTCCTCTGTATTCTTGTTCAATGCTCTTTAATGTGTTATCATGAAGTTGAAGATAGAGACCAAGTTCATAATAAGATGCCTTGCTGCAGTCATGCTTTTTGAGTAATCCAATCACTTCGTTAAGGTCGCTAATTTCTATAGCAATCACATTTATTATAATAAAAGCGATAATTCTGTACTCACTTAAGGTCCTTCCACTCAAAATCGATTCACATACAGAAGCTGATTCAGCCATATTCGAGGCCATATTAAGAAGGTGGAGTGCAGTTTAATCGATAGTCTGCTTGAAGGGTTTCTCTATAATTTTTGTACACCAATTGTTAGTGTACTAAAATAGTGCAGCTCAGTTTATTCTTAGCAATTCACTTGTGTTCATTGAACACAACTAAACTTTGTCAGAACTGAACTAAAGTACACTATTATAGTATACCACCCAACAGTATAGCGGTAACTTATGTTAAGAACTGTATGCTTTAATATGTAGTCTGCATGCAGTCGTATATTTATGTCTGAACACTGCACTTAGTAAAGCTGCACTATGCCATGGGGTACCAAGTTCAATTTAGCTCTGAAAAGATTACTCTATAATGCACATTAATGTGTGCAGGTTGAGGTGCATGCAGGTACATGTACATTCTGTTAACACAAAATTGACTTTTTAAAAAGAAACAAGACAAAATTAAATTTAACTGCTAATAGTTTTGCATTCAAGTGGTATACACCTTTTCCATTAATCCTAATAGTATCACATGTCAATTTAAGAAGTCTGGCTTTACATAGAGCAGCCAGGACTCCCAGGTTGAGGGCACGAAGGAGCTATACAAAAGAAATAAACACTTGATTCTATAATTATGAGTCAATAGCCATACCTGGTGTTATATCATTGAGTGGGAATACATACATCCCTGGTGTGTTGCTATTAATGGTAACTTGGAGCATTTGTAGTGTTTGTACCAAAGGGAAATAGAAAAGGATTATTCACCACATATGTTGGATTAATGATACAAGGCTATTCCGGTAGTCAGTGCTGGAATGTGTGCGTCAACATAAAGAACAATACCAAATGTAATGTTTCCATTAGTAACAATTACGAATTGAAAATGACTACCCTAAGAATAATAAAAAAGTGGGGGCTATAGATACTATACAGGTGTCAAGTAGGCAGACATAGTACTAGATCTCTCTACACACTAACTTGCTGTGTGTCATTCATTTTATAATTAATCCAAGTGCCAATGATTAACTGAGTAGGAGGAGATTTGTTGCAGAAAGTACGAGGAAAAGCTTTATTGATCTCATCCATGATCTTTTAATCAGCACTTAATCATTAGTAGTCCTACCATACAATAATATATTATTGCTATTATTGCCAGCAGGTTGGTACAATACATTCAGGTAGAGAAAGTTTAAACCTTCACTTAAAATATTTATGAAACCATCTTGATTAACTTAATAATAGATTCTAGAATTTTCTAAAGAAACAGGAATTGCACTGAATCAACAAAACTAAATGATTATCATACTCATGGAATTGTACTGGTGAATTTGTATATGCACACTATACTGTGTATGTACTAACTCCCACATTGAGCAAACACAGCTAAATTATCAATTGGATGTAATAATGATGATATAGAGATGCTACGTGGTCCAGTTCTCATTACATCTTCATTATTTGTACCATATGGATATAAATCATCTAATGAGAGAGCATTTGTGTAATACACATTCACTAAAACCTGTAAAGATATAGTTCATACATCATATTCTATACTTATTGTATCTTACTGCAATTGTGACAGTTATCATTCTTGCCTTGATCATCTTAAGTTTCTTTTACTTGACAATAAAATTATGTCTTACTTTCCTACTGCTAAATATCATCATAAAAGCCAAATGTCTTGAAATATGCATGTACAGAGAAACCAGTAAAGCACCTTTGATGTGTAGGCTACTTAGTTCCACTTACAATAGTGAATGCATATTCGCTAATTATTGCAGCAGCCACAGTGTTGCCACTTGCCACTCGTTACAATTTCTTACTAAATGTTTGCAGGTGTGGTACAGAAAAATACAATCAATAATTTGAGGAGTTAACATGTTTACATTACTTCTTTGTTATTTTTATGGCAGCATATGCACACTTTTGAAACTGACATATATCATTAAACATTCTTATAGGAATAGGAAAGATCAAGTTTTGATCTAGTTGTAAAGAATGACAGTTCATGAGCTATAACCTTAAGTGAAACTTGTTGATGTTAGAATAGCAGGTCCATAGTTATTTTTAACATCATTGTGAATGTCATCAACATTATCAATCAAGACTCAAGACACCCCCAAAAACTGTATCTCATCATATGCAGTGTACATGGACAATTAATACTATAAGCAGCATAATCATTTTAATATAAAAAATATAAAAATAACTTGGCTATATTATTAAGCTCACAATTGTCAGTATAAGAAAAGAAAATGTAACAATCCCCACTGCTATTACGACTGCAGGTGAACTCAGAAATGGGATAGAGTATGGAGTGTAATAAAGTCTGGAATCAGTAAAGAACTGCAGTTTATTAGAGCTCGTTTTAGGTGGAGGCTGAATTAAAAGTGGTTTTGTTTCCTTTCCATTGTTTGGTATATCGACTTGTGAGGTGTCAGAAATACAATTCATAAAATTAAATAAAGATGCACGAGGCAGATTTTGGCCACTGGACGCCGCAAATGTTTTGTAACACGTCCACTGTGATAAAATTTGAAGAATTATTGGATAATAAAAGGAAAGGAAGTAGCCAAAGAGTCCAGCAAAAGTGACTATAGTCACCAGATTAGCCACAAACATTGAAACAGCAAAAGGCAATGTAGCAGTCATCAGTTTCAGTAAAAACTGAAAAAAGAAAAATTTGCATGTTTTGTGCTCAGTTGTGTCCTTTCCAAATATGATAGTGTACAAGTTATTGGCCACAATATGAATTGCAAGAGGGAAAGCAGAGCAGACATCAATGCTTGGGAAAAGGATTATGATATAGGACAAAGCACGGAGTTCCTTAGCTCTACCAGGCCTTGACAATGGCTCCTATAAATAAAAGTAAAAGTATTAAAGTAAAAGCATATGATAACTAGTAATTTGAGCATACCCAATTTAAAGTACACGTTTCCACAATGCAGTCTTTGAACCACAGAGAAACTACTATTCCTAATATCAAATACATGAAGCCTATCGTAACATAGAGGGCAATCAAGTAACCACGCAACCACTCCTTCCTTTTGATTGGATGAGTTAGAGCAGGGACAGCAGGACTCAGACCGGCAGCAAAAGAATAAAGTGCTACTGATACCATCCAACTTCTGCCATTAAACTTCAAAAAAATTTGAAGAAAAGTTTCAGTTGAATTAGCTTCATTGAATATGGGAATTGAGAAATTTGACGAAAAATTAGAAATATTTAGTATGTCAACATCAGGTTCATAAAGTGGATTGCTACAGTTATCAATGACATCATCACTAAACAACTTAACCAGGCAGTATATGACAATAGCACCGATCGTAAGGAAGCGCAGTAAACCCAGTATCACTTGAACAATTGCCTGTTCCTTTAGTGGTAGCACTGATAAGAATATAACAATGCAGGCAAATATGAAGACACAAAAGCGATATGCATTGCCACACTCCTCGTCTTTTGGAAACAGATTGTTTCGAAAGTCATCGTCATGACACTGCTTCATGTTCCAAAAATTAAACGGAATATTGACAGACCATGCAGACCCAGCGACAGTGCTGTACGTTGCTACACTGATGAATGTTAATAAAACGATGACGGCTATGTACGATAGCTTCAACCACTGACCGGCAAATAAAAAACACATTTCGCTTTGCTCGAATTTTCTTGACATCGAGATATAAAAATGAGGATCACTAGCTCCCTGAATATCTTTGTGCTCCTTGTAGTCAATATATGCCTACATGAAGAGTAAATTTTCACTCAATTTACTATTATTTATTCTTTCTACATGTAAATATGCAAAAACATAAAGGACATCATATACATGGAAATTTTCAAGCAAAACAACATGCAATCAAAATTCTTAAATGATAGTAAGCCACCCACTACCACGTAGCTACTACGGTACTACTGTGAAGCTTGGCTGAGAAAAGATTGAAACTTTAAATTAATTTACCACAAGGTTGGCCCTAATGAGGTAAATAAGGGCTAGACTTTAAGGCCACACTATACACCAGGCAATTCTATTGCAGGCAATGTGTGGTTACTTTGATGTTGTAAGCAATGTGTTGCCTAGAATAGAACATGTTTCTATTCTAGGCAGCAGTGTTGCCTGAAGATCAAAGTAACCACAGATTGCCTGGAATAGCATTGCCTGGTGTAGAGGGGCCTTTATATTGTCTTTAAATTGAGTGTGCACTATCATATGACTCATATGTACTATGATCTCACCTGTGCTCTCGCCATAGCCTCCACGACCCAATTAGCAGTCAGCCATGAGAGAAAGGTGATAAACAACAATGTAAAGATGCTAGGGAGGATCCCTGAATGATAAAACCCGTAAGGAATGGAGAGGAATCCGGTCCCCAGGACGATATTGATCATAAAGAAGAACCCCAGGAATATGTTGACGCTCCTAGGACCATCTTCTTGCTCGTTGGCATCCTTTTTAAACAGAGCAACGAGCCGTTTTATGCTTGAACTCATTCTAGAAATGACTTTAGATCAGGAGTCCTGCTTAGATCTATGCCCGAGCTACACAAGTTTTCAAGCAGCCACACCCATGAACTGGCTTTTAATTAATGAATTATTCATCAAACAAAAATTTTTGCAAAGAAAAAATAAACAGCAATTGTAACTTTTAAAAAACAAAAAATTAGATAGCAAGACTTACAATAGTAATAACTATAAATGTGGAGGAAATAATACCCACAATCAATGCACAAAGTGGTGAGCTAAGGTAAGGGAGAGAATAAGGTGTTTTATAAAGGTCTGATTGCCTTGAAAGAAAAAAGGACAAAAGACGCTTTCGAAGGTTTTCGTGGCCGATTTGAGAAATCAATGGAGATTTATCGCCAACTGATGATGTATCAGAGAAAATTTTAGTACAGTTGATACTAGTCCCATTAGCTGCAGAGAAAACGTTATAGCACTTCCATTGAGAAGCTAGCTGTAGTATGACTGGAAAATAAAAGCAAATGAAAAAACCGATTAGACCAGCATAATTAATAACCGTCACAAGATTAGCCACAAACATTGCCACAGCCAGAGGTAGAGTAGCAACCAAGAGCTTCATGAAAAATTGAAGAATGTAAAATTTAATGTGCGTATCCTTAGTAGTATCTCTCCCCAGTATCACAGTGTAAATGTTGTTGACTGTAGTGATTATTACCAGTGGGAAAGCTGACAGGACGTCAATACTTGGGAATAAAACAATAAAATATGATAAAGCACGAAGAGCTTTTGCATTCCCAGGCCTAGCGAGTGGCTCCTAAAAATAAAATAAATAAGACAAGTATAATAATAATGAAAACAAGAGAGGGAAAGAGAGAGAGTAAGAGTACATTATTATTATGTTAAAGAGTCATGGAAGAGACTTAAAGTCCAGTGTTGCTAGCAGCTTATGTATTTATTTTGATTTTGTATCTAAAGGCCACTATACACCAGACAATGCTATTGCAGGCAATCTGTGGTTACTTTGATCTTCAGGCAACACTGTTGCCTAGAATAGAAACCTGTTCTATTCTAGGCAACACATTGCTTACAACATCAATGTAACCACAGATTGCCTGCAATAGAATTGCCTGGTGTATAGTGGCCTTAAGAATACAAATCTGTTCTATTTATAAAAGAATTTGATTATAAGATGAAAGCAACCACAAAAGTTGCTAGCAACATGTTGGCTAGTGTATGCTGGGCTTAAAAAGAGAGATCATGTAGTTGAAAGTGATAAGAGAAGAGTGGACAAGGAAATACATATCATACCCAATTTAAAGTGCAGGTCTCATTAATGCAGTCTCGGAACCAGAATGATCCAGCAATGCCCATTATCAAGTACATTGATGCCAATGTTAGGAATAGAGCATTGAAGTAGCCTCGTAGCCACTCCTTCTTTTTTATAGGATGAGTAAGGGCTGGTATAGCCTGATGGAGGATATGAGCGTACGAATAAATAGAAATGGATACCATCCAACTCTTTCCATCAAAACTGAGGAACACTTCTTTAAGAGTCTCGGTTGAATTGAACATGGAATAGGTAAAGTTCAATGAGAAGTTTGATGAGAAGTCAGAAACGTTTACTATGTCAAATTCAGGTTCATAAAGTGGATTGTTACAGTTCTCAATGACATTGCCACCAAACAAATGAACCAGGCAGTATATGACAATGGCACCGATGGCAGTGAAGCGTAATAAACCCAGTATCACTTGAACAATGAGCTGCTCTTTAAGTGGTAGCACTGATAGAAATAAAACAATGCATGCAAATACGAAGACACAAAAGCGATACGCATTGCCACACCCTTCGTCTTCTGGAAACACGTTGTCTTTAAAGTCATCGTCGCGACACTGCCTCAAGTTCCCAAAATTAAACGGAATATTGACAGACCATGCAGAGCCGGCGACAGTGCTGTATGCCATCGCAGCAAAGAATATGATAGTGACTAACATGATGGCATAGACTATCTTCATCCAACGCCCAATGAATAAGTCGCACATTTCTGTTGGCTCAAATTTTCGAATTGGAGTTATATAAAAATGTAGGGCCTGTTTGGATTCCTGAGTTGTCCCAGAAGTTTTGTAGTCGTTGTATCCCTGTGTAATAAAGTAAATAACATTAAATGAAGTAAAGGGAATCAATTAACATAGGGCTTGCCACACAAAGCATGCTAAGTGAGCTAAACAGCATGAGCTTCATGAGCTGACAAGGACTACAATATAGTACATGGCATTTGGAGCAAGTTTTGAAATTCATAAAAAATTCAAATTTGATTGGAATCAGCTCAAATTTTCTACACAACATAAGAACGAGTATATGTATCAGAAAAAAATATAAAATTGAGATTCTTTCCTAGTGATTTCTCGCAAAATACCCTGTGCTACAGTATATACCAAATTTTGAAGCAACTTGAAATTTGCTAACAAAAAGCACTACGCCAAAACCCTGTGAATTAACATAATTATGGCATGAAAATTGATAAAGACACAAGACATCAGGAAAAACAAATAAATTGTTTAAAATGATTTAAATGAAAAATGAAAATCAAATACTTTTTCATTTTATTGCTTATGTGAGGCTGGGAATATCATAAAAAATAGTTGTAGTCTTATCTTTTGTAGCTATGATAGCAAAGTCAACTATCATATGATGAATAAGAGGCTAGATTGTGGTTCTGAATAGCCACTACTTTACACTTTAAATCATTATTATATCACATATAATGCTGATCACGTCATGACTAATCTTAAATCTTAAGAGCCATAACACCTCATTATTATATCACATGCCAACTTTTATACAGTATATAAGGCAAAAAATTCATTTAACTTATACTTTTGTATTAGAGCCAATAATATTATGAGTAAAGCATGTAACGAACACAGAGAATTAAAATAAACATTAAAAGGGAGGCTTCCACTGTGTTCATTATTCACACACATGATCAGGCTAAAGCAATGAAAATTTCTTAATGTGTTAATAAGACTAATGTAAATTTATGCAGTACAAGTGCCACAAATAGATTAATTGCAAAATGGCAAAGGATGGCACTATATTGCTATTGAGTGCTTACGATTGCATGTGCTCAGCTACTATATATATAGATATATATAATTATATAGATATAAAAAGGCATGCAACAAGCAACTACTAGACTAAGGGTTTGGTTCATTTTTGGCACCTTGTTCTCACTTACATATCATGCAAAACATAACAGCAACTTAACATACATTTTACAACGAAGGCTATAGCTCTTACCTGTGCCCTTGCCATGGTCTCCACAACCCAAATAGCACAGAGCCACGAGAGACAGCTAATGAACAGCAAGGTAATGATGCTAGGAAGGACGCCGGAGCTGTAGAATCCGTAGGGAATAGAGAGGAACCCGGTACCCAATACAAGATTGACCATCAGAAAAAATCCCAAGTATATGTTGACGGTCCTGGGGCCATCAGTCTCAACTTTCCTCTTAAAGAGATTAAAGAACGCCTCCATCTTTCTGCTGCAGCTGCACACACTTTTCCACTCTCACGGGATGGAGCAATGATTATATTTAAAGTTTTTAATTAGCAAAAATAACTAATACATTATTCATGAGCTATAGGTATACATGTAATACAGAATCTCTATGTCTCTTTAACAAATAAGCTGATAATTGTAAGAACAAAGCAAATTACAGCTACAACGAAGAACCCAATAACACATATAGGATAGCTCAACGGAGTAGAGTAAGGTGTCTTGTACGAATCCCTGTACTTGAATGTGAAAAGGAAGTCGAATATAAACCAGCCTATACCCTTCTCGTATAAAGAACCTTTACCATTAGGCAGCAATGGCTGCTTTTCTTGTATCGTCGGCCCTTGACTAGACGAAGCAATGTTCTTTGCGACCCGATCCGAAGACTTGCCGACGGTGAACAAATGGCAGCAAACCCATTGAGACGACAGCTGAAACAGCATCGGGAAGAACAGTGAAATGAAAAAGCCAAGAAGTCCGGCATACTTGAGTACGTATACCAAATTAGAGACAAAGAAACCGATAACGATTGGTAGAATAGAAGCAGTGAACTTCATACCAACTTGTATCAGCTTGTGCTTTACTCCGGTAGTTTGACTGGTATCACGACCAAACACGACAGTATAGATGTTATTGACGATGGTATGTATCATGAGTGGGAACACTGAGCAGACGTCAATGCTGGGGAAGATTATGATATAGTATGAGAGAGCACGTATAGCAGCATGATGAGAACTTGAGGTCATGGGGTGCTAGAAAAAAAACAAGAAAAACATAACGACAAATAATTGATACCAAACTTCATTGCAATTAACTAAAGTCCATTTGTGTTCACCTGAGCCCTTGTTTTCTTGCTATAACTTTTGACTTACAAATTCTATTATAAAAATAAACATACCAGTGCATTCCTCTCCTTTTGCCGCATCTATTGTACTACTTAAGAAGCAGCTTTAGCTCTTTAACTCCAAGTTGGTTGTATAACCCATGCAGAAAGTACAGCCATACTTTTCACAATATTATTGCATTGTGTTAATTATTGGGTGGGGTTTCTAATCACTTCCTTGGCTCAGGTGAATGCAAATGGACTTTAATTATTTTATAACACTAATAAGTCAGCATATTAAAATCATTAAAGGTAGATGCATAGTGTTGCTTTAAATTTTAATTTAGCTTATAGAGGAGATTGTTTAGTTGCTTAAATTTGTTAAGTGGTTGCTTTATTATTGAGAGTAAAAACTGAGAAGCTGTTACTCTCTTATAAGGAAAGTAAGGTAGATTTCCAATTTTAAAGATAGTACATCTCCTGTAGCTACTATACCGTATAGTGCAAAATTTTTGAGGGCTATAAATTTGACAATTTTGAAGATTTGCAAAAATTACTTCTGCAAAATTAAACTATTATGGTACAAGATGACAGATAGCATAAATTAATTCCACAAAATAGATTTTAGGCAAATTCGTAAAATTTACAGCCTTCGAAATTTTGCACTATACAGTATTTCCTTCATTAATAAGAATATACATGTAAACTGCACTTGTATTTAGCATTAAAAAATCAAATAAAAATCTATAAAATTAACAAACTCACCCAATTAAGTGTACAAGTTTCATTGACACAGTCTCTAAACCATAGAGCCACCACGACCCCCAGGAGTCCATACAAGAAAGTAATGAGCAGAAACAAGAGGTTAAAGTAGCCACGAAGATACTTCTTATTCCTAATCGGATGAGTCAGGCCAGGAATACCTTGATGGAGGATAAAGGCATAAACGAATACCGGAATTGCTGCCACCCAATTGTAGAAATTGAAATGAAAAACAATATGATCCATACTTTCAAAAGTTTCAGTGCTATTATCATAGAACAAACTGGAGTTCATTGTGTCATTATTATCTGCATCACAAGTAGGTAATGTGTCTCCTTCAAAGAGGTATACCAAACAGTATATAATGATAGCACCAAGAGTAAAGAACCGTAACAGGCCGAGGATTAGCTGGACGATGGCTTGTTCCTTTAGATCTAAAAGTGATATCGGAACGACAAGGACGGCAAAGAGCATGAGACAGAACCAATACGCATGGAGACAGCCACCGGGATGAAACGCTGGCAACAGTCGATTAAGAAAATCAGTATCGGAACACTCTTGAAATGAACCAAAGTTGAGAGGAAGATTAACACTCCATGCAGTGCCAACGACAGTAGAGTAGGAGATGCAGGCTAAGGAGCTGTATATGGAAAATAATATGAGGTAAACTATCTTTAGCCACCGACCAACAAATACTTCACATAATTCACTCGGTTCAAACTTCCGGTTCTGTGCAATATAAAATTTAGGGAAAGGAGTTGAACTGCTTCCACTTGAATCAGACACAGTGTCAGAAGAACGATACTCCCATATTGCCTATAGTAAGAATAAATACAACATAGTTATAATAAATTAGCAGTAATTTAACACTCATTGTCACTTCTCTCAAAAACATAAATGTATAAGTACACAATGTTCATGTGTATACTGTATTGATTTTAATGTACACACACACACTCATTATGTCTAGGTACATGTACTTGTGAATTAGTATTATCAATTGGAAGTTTAGGACAGGTGTACCTACCGTATAACAAGATGTAAAGTGTTAATGCCAAATAAGTGAAAATTAAATCATAGTAAAAGTATAGAGGCTCTTATGATAGCAAATAATACACACGACAATGGCAAAATGATAAATGAGTACTGATCCAAATCATCCAATTGCTATTGCTATTGGCTAACACAATGAAGATCCAACATGTACTGGGTTTCCCGCAAAGTAAGCTCTAAGTGAGCTAAAAAGCATAATTGATGAGCTGACAAGCCTAATTGTAATAGAACATACATCAACAGTACATTTACATGTAATGTATATGGATTAAGCAACTTTTAAAATTCATAAAAAATACAAATTTGATCGGAATCAGCCAAAACTTGAAACACAATATAAGGACATGTATATGTATCAGAAAAAATTATAAAAATAGAGGATTCTCTCGGAGCCATTTTTGACAAAATTTGGCCTTGAACCAAAGGCTATAGCCCATGGTTTTTGGTCAAATTTTTAAGTAACTTTAAAATTTCATAATAAATCTAAATTTGATCGGAATCAGCCAAAACTTGAAACACAATATAAGGACATGTATATGTATCAGAAAAAATTATTAAAATGGAGAATTCTCTCGGAGCCATTTTTGACAAAATTCGGCCTTGAACCAATAGCCCATGATTTTTGGTCAAATTTTTGAGTAACTTAAGAAATCCACTGAAAAATTGCATTGACAAAAATGAAGCCAAAGCATGTGTGTTATAGCATGTGTATATATGTGTTTCTAGCCAAAACTATCATGACTGAACCGACCCACCACTCAAATTAAAATACATATTGCATCATTCTACACCAAAACATAGTGAATGTCATTAAGATAAGAGCATGTTCTCATCACATGTCATTTCTCATCGCAAACACATTATTGTAAACCATTAATAATTACTATCCATAATTGAACTATTTTAACTTTTGGCCTAATTTAGTTAAAGTTAATGGATATAAGTTTGATTATCAATGTGAAATTGGTTATCTTAGTCCTGTAAAAATTGTTAAAATTAATGGACGTTAATATACCCACCACTGCAAAACTGTTGAACATAAAGGTCACTAAATTATTTGGGTTTACACTAATACCTGCATGTAAATATCTTGGTAGATAATCTAAGTTTAATTTAGAAACATAAATCAGCATTAATGTACCGAAACTTTGATAGTGAAAATAGTGAATTGTAGTGGTGTAAGTATTACGCAATGAAATTTACGATGCACTGATTATAATCAATTATTATTGATATGTTCCAGGTCAATTATTAAACTAACACCTCCATTAACACAACAACTGATCAAAACAGCTATGATTTACCTGTGCTCTGGCCATAGCTTCAACTTCCCAAAGAGCACACAACCAAGCCATGACAGCTACAATAGTTAAGGTAATGATTCCGACAAGTAAGCCACCATGAACGAATCCAAAAGGAATCCCCAGGAAACCAGTCCCAAGGACGAAGTTGACCATGAAGAAGAACCCCAGGAATAAGTTGACAGTTCTCGGCTCGCCGTCTTTGCCATTAGCGCTTTTAAACCTCTGAGGCACACAGGGCCAGTCGGGAATAAAATACTGGAGACAGTCACCTAGTTTAGACCCCATGATGAAGTGGTGTCTGCCAAGTTGAAGACTGGAAGTGCCAATCTAAAATTCTAAATGCCGTAAATGGCGGTTACAGCCTTACAGGCGGTATTAAAATTAAAAATGTGAGGGGAGGCTTTGTAGGGTGTGGCTTTAGTTATTAACAAATATTTGACCCCTCCTATTTTAATAATGGACATTCAAATTCAAATTTTTGAATTTTAAAATCTTACCGTCATAGAATGGAGTCTTCAGAGAACGTTCTGAGCTGTACTTGCCGAATAGAGACGGTAGACAGGAGTGGAGCGTTATTGAAGACCCAGACACTAACTAAGGCTGAACTTATAATCGGTAGGAACCAGTTTCAAGACGTCGTACTGAAAGTCTCCTACCCTGAAGGGAAACAAGGTCAGCTGTGGTATAAAGTACCATGAAATTTTAGGGGGTTGATCTATTTATTTGATTTTATTATTTTTGTTGTGACCGGCCCACTTGTAAATGCATGTCGAGAGTTTGCGGATGCACTTCACTCAACAGTTTAGCAGCCTGGGTAGCCCATGTTTCCACCTCATTAAAGTAATCAATCCACACTGAAAATAAATTTGATAAATGGGGCATTTTGATAGCCATTTACTATGCACATGCATCATGGTAAACAGCCAAATTGAAATGTGCCATCTAAAAGAACAATTTAGTATAAATACTGTTAATTGCATGAACTCAAATTTACTATGATTGTATAGAAGGCAGTTAAAATTATAAAATTAATAAAATTTAGGCCCATATACTATCAAAGATTATAAGATACACAAAAGATTTGTGCAAGAAGGCAAAGCTACTATAAGTCTACAGACACAGCAGATTCACTTAATGGTATCGAACTGTCCGACAGAACTATTAAAAGTGTTTCTGAAGTGTCTTCTTTTGAAGCTAACAGCTCGTGGGGCTCTACAAGGATCACGCCAACACTTATCAGGTGATGTATCAACCGAATTTGAAACAATCAGCCCACTCAATATGAGAGATTTAGAGCAAGCAAAGCAGAATGTTGGGGGTGAACACAATAAGGAGAACAATGTCAGTTTGACACCTAAACGTACTCTACCTCTCAGCAAGTCTCTGAAAAGAAAGTTATGCGAATTAAAAGTTGAGCCTAACAGTTCGAAAGATCCAACAGCTCCTCCTCTGGCTAAGAAACCATTGCTACTAAAGACAAGCTGTTCTTCTCTCTCGGAGGATCAGTTACAAGTCATCAATGTCATAAAGAATGGCGATAGTGTATTCATTACTGGGAGTGCTGGGACAGGGAAGTCATACCTGCTCCAGCGTATCATTGGTATGCTTCCACCTGATACAACCTATTGCACTGCTAGTACTGGAGCTGCTGCTTGTATCATTGGAGGCACTACACTTCATTCTTTTGCAGGGATCAATACAGACGCAGCTCCATTAAAGCAGTGTGTTAGCATGGCAATGAGAGAGCATAAAGCAGTACACTGGAAGAGATGCAAGGTGCTACTGATCGACGAAATATCAATGGTTGATGGAGAGTTCTTTGATAAACTGGAGGCTGTAGCCAGAGCCGTTAGGAAGAGTAAGAAACCTTTTGGTGGGATACAGCTAGTGCTGTGTGGTGACTTCTTACAGCTCCCACCAGTTTGCAAAGATGGGAAGAAAAGATTATTTTGTTTTCAAGTAAGAAATTGAAAATTTTTTGAAGTTATGATGCTTTATTTTTAAGGCTGAGAGTTGGAGAAAATGTGTCAATCGAACCATTGAGCTGAATGATGTGTACAGACAGAAAGACAGGGAGTTTATTGCTATTTTGCAGAACATAAGAATAGGAAGGTACAATAGCACTCATTCACTATCAATGATATTTGTATTCAATACTTTATGTATTTCAGATGTCCACCAGCTATCACTAAACTCTTAAAAAATACTGAAAACCAGCTAATAGAGAAAGGAGGAATACGTGCTACTAAGTTATATACACACACTAACGAAGTGGAGAGCACTAATCAAACAGAATTGAATGCACTTGCCGGTGAGGGTAGAAGATTTGATGCGACTGATAACCAACCAAACTGCATGCAACAGCTTAATGCTCTCTGTCTTGTACCACATACTCTTGTATTGAAGATTGGAGCTCAGGTATGTGAATAATGATTTAATAGTGTAGCTTATAAATTTAGCTTACATGCATGTCATCTACTGTAAAACTACAAATTTTAGCGTGCTACTTATTTTAGTGATATTAGCGAAGAGCCTAAACACGCTAAATTTAATATTCGCTAATAAAAACACCTGGTCACGTGATCACAAAATGTCGCTGATACCATAGGTACAGTATCTATGCTGATACTATACTAGTAGATGGCTCTCTTCTGCTCGGTTGGCAACACTACCAGAGGAAGGAGAACCCAGTGGAACAACAGCAGCAGCTAACAGAAAAGTGGGAAAGGTTTAATGATACGCCAAATTTAATAGTCGCTAATTTGACATTTAAGCATAAACGCTAAATAAAATAGCCGCTAATATTAATAGGTTTACAGTATTTCATGTATTTTTATATGCATCAAAAGGTTATTTTAATTAATAATGTCATGTTGCTTATTGTACAGCTAGCATAGATTTGTTTAATACACGTAGTACAATACAATTTCTTGGTAATGACTTTTTAATTGATATTTTCTGTTGCAGGTAATGTTAGCAAAGAACATTGATGTGTCAAGAAGTTTAGTTAATGGAGCAAGGGGTATTGTGACTTCCTTTACAGATCAAGGTATGAATACAAAACAAACCATTCATACACTATTATACTACTGAGCCTTATAACTCAAACTATGATTCTGCTTTATCATTATTATAGGATTTCCAGTCGTCCAGTTCACAACAGGACTCAAAGAAACCATTGGATTTGAAAAGTGGACCTTCCATACTGGAGGAGGCTATGCCCTCAGTCGTAAGCAGCTACCACTCAAGCTAGCATGGGCCATGTCTATACATAAGAGTCAGGGAATGACATTGGACTGTGTAGAAATATCCCTAGGTGGGGTCTTTGAGACTGGACAAGCTTATGTTGCTCTCTCGCGTGCTAAGAGTTTGAAGACTCTTCGTGTCAAAGGATTTGACCCATCACGTGTACAAGCAAATAAAGACGTACTGGAATACTATAGGAATATCAGACGTATCAAAAGAGCTACTCATTGTGGACCTGTATGATATATTTTGTGATCAATCCATATTGTCATATCTTGATAAATTTTTAATTCAATTACTATATCAATATTAATTTTTTGATACATGAATTTTCGCTTTGATACCATTACATGCTTTGATTGACATGACCTGTGTTAATGAGTGTAGTAAAAACACTAACATAGATTTGAATATTTGCCAATACTTATTGTATAATTTTGGACGTCATTAGTCAGTCTCTTTTTACAAATTATAATAGGATTGAGGAATAAACAGTAAACAACCAACAATATTTCTTGGGTAATCAAATGCACAGGTCATGTAATAGTATCAGATCATGTTGATTACCTTAATCTCAATCTGAACAGTAGCAGTATTGGTACATGTAATTAATAATCAATAATTTAAGTAGTCAGTAGTCTACAGTGACAACAGTGATCAACATGCTTTGATGCTATTAGATGGCCTGTGCATTATTGATTAATGAGTGAGTAAAGATCTAATGAGCCACTAGTCTAGACTGCGTTCTTTAAATAAATTAGGTACATGTACAGCATCATTACTGACGTCACTAGTCAGGCTCTTCTGAATATTATAAAAGGAGTGAGGAGTAAACAGTAAACAATCATAACAAAGAGGATAATAATGCTCTCTCTTATACTAGCTATTGCTTGTCTCCCTCAGTTTATCAGTAGTTCTAATCTTGCTCTTACATTTGATGCTGCTAACAGTACCTGTACTGCAGCCTGTACTACCTGCAGTGATACCAGTAGCACTAATACCAATCATTACAACACTGATAATGGACTATTGAATGAACTACTCAATGTTACCAGGAACAATGGTCAAGATATTCAAGAAATAAAACAGAAAATGGACGGTATCATTTCTTCTCTCTCCCATATCAAGGAGACTGCTACCACTAATGCTGGAGCTATCAATGATATACTGCTACTAGTGGAAGACCTTATCATGTTACACAATGACTCATCTTCCTTCTCTCCTATCCCTACTTCTTGTCAAGAGATTAAGAACAAACAACCAAACAGTCCTTCTGGTGTATACCTACTTGGAACTAATGGTGGAACTAAATATGTTTACTGTAATATGGAGGAGCTGTGTGGTTCAGGAGGAGGATGGACAAGACTAGCATACCTGGATATGACTGATGCTACAGAGAACTGTCCTTCTGGGTTTAAACTGTACCAGTCAGGAGGAGTTAGAGCTTGTGGTAGAACAGCATCAAGTGGAGGCAGTTGTGTATCAGTTCAGTTTCCATCTAATGGTATCAGTTACTCTCAAGTGTGTGGTAGAGTAGTGGGATATCAGTATGCATCAACTGATGCTGTTGATTCTACAATTGGTACTAGTGCTCACAATGATATCAATTCTTATTATGTTGATGGTGTTAGTATCACTCGTGGGTCTCCTCGTCAACATATCTGGACACTAATGACTGGACTGCATGAAGCTAGTTATTATTATCTAGTAAATAATGGTCACTATAACTGTCCTTGTTCTCAAGGTAGTCCTCAAAACTCAACTCTTCAGTCTTTCATTGGTAATGACTACTTCTGTGAATCTGGTAATCCTGCTACTGATGGTTCTATTCAATTCGTACTCTATGCATCTGATCCATTGTGGGATGGTAAAGGATGTGGTAGTCTTGAAAATCCTTGTTGTGCAGCTCCTGGTCTTCCATGGTTCAATAAGATACTAAACACTACCACTACTGACTACCTTGAGCTGAGGGTGTGTAGCGACCAAACTGCTGACAATGAAGACACTCCTATCAGCCTTTATGAAATTTATGTCAAATGAATAAAGACTTATGTTTGCTGTTCTATTATTTTTTACACTTCATTAGTAGCCTTTAGCCTTGTACCCATCCACATGCAAGTGTGAATAGCTTTTTTGAGACTATCACTATTTAACTATCAGTAATATCTGTCTTAGTATTTATGTTAATTTATATTTCTTAGAAAACTATTAGCTTCAATCCTTGTCTATTACATTAATACAATTATAAACCTTGTTGTATTGTTGTGAACTTGTAGTTTGCATTTGAAATAACAGCCTTGATGAAAATTCTAAGACAATTAAGCACATTGTTGGAAAATTGGTATATTGCATGGCTACATTTTATGTTTTGTAATAAGCTCTTAATCTTTTAATTTTGAGGAGATTAAATTTTATGCTTTATGCATGCATATGCATTTTGCACATGTGCAGTGAGTATTTCTGAAGTACTCATTTTTGTGGGTAAGAAATTACTCACAAAATTTGTTAAATTAAATATCTGACAAATTATATATACCTGTATTACACAGTTTAAAATTACAGCCTCTTAAACTGCAGGTTATTTTGTATGGTGTGTTTATATTTATATTGGTGTGAAATAAATTGTATTTAAAGCAAAAGTTACCGTGCTCGTTGAAAGTATCAATTGTATTATTTTTAATTATTGTACCATGTGTTTAATGCTTGTTTTAATAATTTGTAGTCACCCAAAGATGAATTATGTCTTGCACTGTACCTGCATGGCACCAAGTTTTCTATTCATGATCAGTTGAATTCATCACTATGCTTCACCTGATGCAGTATATCCAGGCAGACATCAAGGTGGAACATATGGTTGTGTCATTGATATCAATCATAATGATATCAGTTCTTATTGTGCTGATAGTGTCAGTTTTATTTGTGGGCCTCCTTGTCAACATTTCAGGACACTAATGGCTAGATTAAATGAAGCTAATACTGTTTTTCTGTTTTAATGGTTTTTTTGAAGCCTCTTCGCATCAAAGGATTTGACCCATCACGTGTACAAGCAAATAAAGATGTGCTGGAATATTATAGGAATATCAGACGTATCAAAAGAGCTACTCATTGTGGACCTGTATGATATACTCTGTGATCATGTATTTTTGATACATGTATTTCCTTTGATACCATTACATGCTTTGATACCACTACATGACCTGTGTTAATGAGTGTAGTAAAAACACTGTTATAGAGTACGTTCTTTAAATATTTGCGAATACATAGCGTATAATCTCTGACGTCACTAGTCAGGCTCTTCTAAATATTATAAAAGGAGTGAGGAGTAAACAGTAAACAATCATTACGAAGAGGATAATAATGCTCTCTCTTCTTATACTAGCTATTGCTTGTCTCCCTCAGTTTATCAGTAGTTCTAATCTTGCTCTTACATTTGATGCTGCTAACAGTACCTGTACTGCAGCCTGTACTACCTGCAATGATACCAGTAATACTGATACCAATCAATACAACACTGATGATGGACTGCTCAATGTTACCAGGAACAATGGTCAAGATATTCAAGAAATAAAACAGAAAATGGATGGTATCATTTCTTCTCTCTCTCATATCAAGGAGACTGCTACCTCTAATGCTGGAGCTATCAATGATATACTGCTACTAGTGGAAGATCTTATCATGTTACACAATGACTCATCTTCCTTCTCTCCTATCCCTACTTCTTGTCAAGAGATTAAGAACAAACAACCAAACAGTCCTTCTGGTATGTATCTACTGGCAACTAATGATGGAACTCAATATGTTTACTGTAATATGGAGGAGCTCTGTGGTTCAGGAGGAGGATGGACCAGGATAGGCTATCTTGATACATCTGATGCCACTCAAAGCTGCCCTGGAAATTTAGCTACACTAACTTACCAAGGTGTAAGGTACTGTAGGAGACCAGGTTCTAAAGGGAGCTGCAGTTCCGTGTCATTCTGGCCAAATGGGGTCAATTATACTCAGATATGTGGCAGAATCACAGCTTTTCAATATGGAAACACAGATGCAAACCATCATCCAGTAGATCTTAACTCTATATATGTTGATGGCATTAGTATCACACGTGGATCTCCTCGAAAACATGTTTGGACATTAATGTCAGCACTATTTGATAATATTCTTTATGGCGTTGACATTTGTCCTTGCTATGTAGGCAGTACTGTTGCCAAGCAGTCTTTCATTGGCGATGATTATTATTGTGAATCTGGCAATCCTGACAGTTATTATCAATCAGGTGTCATGTATCCCAATGATCCACTATGGGATGGAAAGCAATGTACTCCACTCGAAAGCCCATGCTGCACCAATCCTAACCTCCCATGGTTCCATAAGACTCTACCAAACAGTACAAGCGATTTTATTGAAATGAGGCTCTGTGGAGACGAGGCGCCATATGCTGAGGATACTCCAATATCATTTTATGAAATATACATAAAGTGAAAGTTGAACTTCATGACACCTTTTCATTAGTTTTGCTGCTAATTTTTGCTGTTTTATTTCTCAATGTTGTCTATTCTTTATTATTTTTGCCTGCTTGTATAAGTTTTTTGCCTAACAAAACAAGGTTTTAAACCATGCATATACATATTAAGGGATTAAGCAAATCATAGTTTACCATACTGGAGGAGGCAATGCCCTCAGTCGTAAGCAGCTACCACTCAAGCTAGCATGGGCCATGTCTATACATAAGAGTCAGGGCATGACATTGGACTGTGTAGAAATATCCCTAGGTGGGGTCTTTGAGACTGGACAAGCTTATGTTGCTCTCTCGCGTGCTAAGACTTTGACACGGAAAGACTTTCCGTGTCAAAGGGTTTGATCCGTCACGTGTACAAGCAAATAAAGATGTGCTGGAATACTATAGGAATATCAGACGCATCAAAAGAGCTACTCATTGTGGACCTGTATGATATATTTTGTTATCAATTTATGTTGTTATATTGGTTATAATTATTTTTTATTTAATTAATAATCAATATTGATAGCAAGGACGTTATTTTTAGCACAAATTTATGGGCAATAGGCTTGTAAACTCACATGCTTGTTAAAATTAACTAAAGTGTGTTCACATTGACACATTTGTCTGAGTTAACAATAATGTTAACATAGTTACATGTGGGGCATTTCGGGTTATTTTGGAGTCATTTTTGGGAAAAAAAATTGCTCACTATACGGTAGCTCAAAACTTTTAAGTTGGAATCAGTTCAAACTTTATTAATCACTTTGTAATGGTTGTTTACTGTTTACTCCTCACTCTTTTCTGATTCATGTACTTTGCTTTGATACCATTACATGCTTTGATACTACTACATGACCTGTGTTAATGAGTGTAGTAAAAACACTGTCATAGAGTATGTTCTTTGAATATTTGCGAATACATAGTGTATAATCTCTGACGTCACTAGTCAGGCTCTTCTGAATATTATAAAAGGAGTGAGGAGTAAACAGTAAACAATCATTACAAAGAGGATAACAATGCTCTCTCTTCTTATACTAGCTATTGCTTGTCTGTCATCAGCCCATATTGTCATATCTGATATAATTTTATTTCAATTATATTAAATTTTATTGATAGCAAGAATGCTATACATACATGCATGTACTAGATTATTTACAAAAATATTAGCTGAGGTTTTAATATATATATATATACTGATGAACATTTTGATAGATATTGTGTATGTGTTAAGTTAGTTTTTTATAGTTAGTTAAACATAGGTAGGTAGTTGATTTGAAAATAACTAAAATTTAATGGTATTTCAATATATGCAGGTACTCTACAGAAGGTATGCAAATTAATAGTGCCAGATTATTTACAAAAATATTAGCTGGGGCTTTAATACATAAGTCAGATCTATTATTATTGAATTATATCATAAGGGTATAAAAGGTTTAGATTATAAAATGATGCTGATGGTTCATCGTAAGATGAGGAACAGATTGAGGGCAGCTTTTTAGCATAATCAGACAAATCAGCTGAAAAATCATACATTCTGACAGCACCACACTGCCTATGAAAAAAAGAATTTTATAATAAGCATGTACTATAGTATGAGATTACATCTATAAGAGTAATTAGGGCATAATGCTGACAAATCATCTTTTTATCAGGAGAAAATGAGGCAGTTGCAGGGTTTCCTATGTTCCTATGTTGTGTATAAAGTTAGAGCTCATTCCAATCAAATTTAGATTTTTTATGAATTTTTAAAGTTACTCAAAATTAGGCCAAAGTCCCTTTGTGCACTAAAAAAACTTACCCATTATTCAAAAATTCCTGCCTACATTATTACTGTACATTTAGAGTAAAAACTACAAAAGTTAATAAACTTTACTGATAAAGACTAACCTTGAATGTTGTGGGCTCCCATTAGTATTGAGAGGTTGAACTGAAGGAATGTGTGCAACAATAAGATACTCATTATCAACCTCACAGAGCGAAACAGAGTGTCTATTAAAAATAAACTAATCACTAAAAAATAATAGAGTTATGTTATTTTTAGTTGTATTTTGTGTTCTATTTGGTTTATTTTTTGTGCCAATGGTTTCTGTGTCATACATGTACATGTACACATACAACATGTAGATTTAAATTGGAATTTCTTATACCTGTATCTCTAAAACATGTACCGTATACGTTCAAATTTTCGAGGGTTCAAAATTTCGTGTTTTCAATGAAAATTGCTCAAAAGTTAATATTCGTGTGAGCTAATTTTCGTGTTCTGGCCATAGTCCACATACAATAGAATGGCATTAGAGGTGGTTTAAATTTCGTGGATTTAAGGTGAGCACGAAAATAATGAAATTTAATACACCTCAAAAATTAAGATGTGTACAGTACATATGTAAAACATGTGCATGTACATGTACTCATTTATTATTACATGTACATGTACAGTACATGTATATGTTACGCTAATGTACCTGTCATGTCCTCTCCACAGTTCTTGTCCTATTCTTAAATCCCATACAGCAACAGTGCCATCACGACTATTATAATAAGATTAATATTATAATTTAATATTCAGAATATTGCTATAGCTGTATAGGTACTACTAATGGTATAAAAATAAATTTATGACACCCGGAAATTTTTTTCAACAAAAAATACCGTATAATGCTTTAATTTGGCAGAGTTTTATTTTGGCGATTGGCGGTTTGCAAGCAGAATCGCCAATATTAAAACCGCCAATCATTAATGCGCATGCTTAGTAATGCACGTGTACACAAAAATTGCCAAATTAAAAACTGCCAATTACAATTTTACATCAAAATCGCCAAAATAAAGCACCGCCAAAATAAAGCGTTGTACAGTAATTGCACAGCAGACAATTTTCAAGAGCTGCAAATTTCATGGATTTCAAAATTAAAATAAATTAATAATTATAATCAGTACAAGATGGTAATACTAAATATGCAAAATATCAAATTTGTGAAACAGTACAAAATAATTCCTAAAATATATTATACCGTAGATCGGGAAATTTTTGTGTTAAAAATAATTGGTATGAAATTTTTTCAAGGTGTTTTATTTTCGTTGGTTGACCCATCCACGAAATTTTTTTAACACAAAAAATTTTGGATGCGTTATAAACGGGACACGTGGCTACTAACTCTTGACAATGGTGGACTGCTATTTGATGGAAGTTGCTCGTGACAGCACTGAAACTGACAAGGAGCCTCTTGGGTGAGGGCTTCAGGCCTTCATTGGGCTTTAAGAAGAGCCTCGTGCCAGCTGTGCATGCACTACTGCACGTTAGAATAGACTAATTTCGGTAATCTAATTATTCACTGTAGAAAATATTTCGTGTGTCAAAATTTTGTGGGTCACTTCAAACACGAAAATACTTTAACAACGAAAATTTCCCGATCTACGGTACTTATAGGTAAATTTGTGACACTTATAATAAATGCTATAAATATTGTATTGTAAAGTAATAAAGATAAAAGGGCCATGGTTGCCTTACATGTAAGCTGAATGGTGCATAATAAGTGTATTGGTTATTATATGTGTATAGTTTAATTTTACCTTCCACTAACTACTTTCCAATCTTCAAGCTGGAGACACACTACTGGTGAGGACATGCCAAATAAACTAGTGACAGGATAATTACTACTGCCATCATACAAGTTCAACCTATGAGAAAATACAAAAATAATAACATAACACATTTTAAAATGAGGTAATTTTGAAAGTGCCCTGTACTGTAGGTTATATAGCCCATGGTTTTTTTATGGCTAAAAAATCACCCTCAATTTTTATTACTTACATTTTCTGATGCATATTGACATCCTTATGCTATGTAAAAAATTTGAGCTGATTCCGAGTTAAATTTTTTGAGTTATAGCCATTTTAAAACGAACCAATTTCTGAAAAATACCAATTTCTGAAAAATACCCTGTACTATAGCCCATGGTTTTTTCTGAAAAGTGGCTAAAAAATCACCCTCACTTTTTATCACGATTTCTGATGCATATTAACGTCCTTATGCTATGTAGAAAGTTTGAGCTGATTCTGAGCTAATTTTTTTGAGTTATAGCCATTTAAAAAACAGACCAATTTCTGAAAAATACCCTGTACTATAGCCCATGTTTTTTTCTGAAAAGTGGCTAAAAAATCACCCTAATTTTTATCACATTTTTTGATGCATATTAACGTCCTTTGCTATGTAGAATGTTTGAGCTGATTCCGAGTTAAATTTTTTGAGTTATAGTCATTTTAAAAAACGGACCAATTTCTGAAAAATGCCATGTACTATAGCCCATGGTTTTTCCAAAAAATGGCTCAAAAATCACTTCCAATTTTTATTACATTTTCTGATGCATATTGACGTCCTTATGCTATGTAGAAAGTTTGAGCTGACTCTGAGTTAATTTTCTAAAGTTATGGGCAATTTAAAAACAGCCAAGAAACTACACATACACATGTACATGTCAGCATTATGCCAAAATCCCATAGAAAACCCTGTTGTCACTACATCAAGGATCTACTGCATCTAAACATGTACATGTACAATACTTTGCTTGCTTAGGATTGCCCCTTAATGTTTTAGTACAGCTACTAGTTCTATCGATACTATTAGCATAGTTTAACATTACTTTTTGTCTTCTCCTCCTGATATCAGTCTATTATTCTGACCTCTGTCAAATGATAAGGAGCAGATCCTTCCAGAGTGCCCACGATAGCTTTCTTTATTGACGCCAGAAATAATATCAAAGAGACGAACCTGAATAAAACAAAAAGGGTCCAATATTAAGTAGAGACACTAATACTTCATGATAGCCATAATGTATAGAGCCACAAGCAACTGTTGAGGATTGATGGGAGTAAGTAAAACAGTTCACAAAACAAGGTGAGTCTTCCCCAAGGAAATGAGTAGCAGTAATGAATGACTCTAATGGAGACTGTAAAGGAAGCAAATGATACTTAGAAATATTAATGATTCATGAAAATTTAAAGTATACATGTACTCATTGGCTATAGTCTGCAGGATATCACAACACTTCCATGCTAACTAGCTGTGAATGCTAATACATGTATAAAGAGGAAAGTTGAAATCATGCTTGCTTTTTAGTTGGGACTTGGGGGATATTTTAATTACAATTATACAAAATAATTATTAATGAATGGTGCATGTAAAGGTACTATACACAATGTGTTTACCTGTAACACCAAATGTGAATGAGTTGAATACAACAATAGAAACGGACTATTTTCTTTGTCTGATAAAACGAGTGACACTTTATTGATGTGGAAATTATTAAGCTGAGCAGAACTAGGAAGTTGTACTGCTGATTTATACCAATCACTTAATGAAGAGTCTTTATTAATGAGGAGGGTAAGGGATGAGAAGGAATCATTACCACCTATCAAAAGGAAATGAGATACTGTATATCAATTATTATCAATTTTATTAAACATACATGTACATGTATACCAGTAAATGTTACTAATATTGATCTATTAATAAATGCTAAATGAATGTATATACTATAAATTACTATTACTGCGACACTAGATTTTTTGATTGCATGTACTTTTACAGACCAGTAAAACATTTAATAACAACTGATAGAATTTAACAATAAAAACCAGTAATGAAAAAAAGAGCATAAAGAGTGTTCTGCATCACTCCACTGTGTGTATTACATTATGTACAAATGGCACAATGCTACATGTACATTGTACATGCAAGTGTCATGAACAATTAACTTTTATTCAATAAATCTGTGAACTATAATAACGTCGTTTACAAATTTAGCAAATGTAATGTGATCCATGTCACTCCTCCTCACAGTAATTGTCTTACAAGCAAAATCAACTTACACTGAGCTAGCCCTGTTATACAAAAAAATCTAGCCTAGTTTGGCTATAGCATATCGATTGTGCTGATAGGTTTAGAGCATAGGTATTTTACCATTTTTGGGTATTTTAGTTACTTGCAGACAGTTGTTATTCTAGTATTACTATTCCAGTTCCAGTGTATTAGACATACTCAATTACTCATAAACCAAACTTTTCCCAAAAGTCAATGCATATCACAATGGGTTGGCCAGCTGTTAATATATCTGTGAACCAAAAATTTTGCTAATACTAGTAGCCAGTCTTTGCTAATACTAGTAGCCAGTCTAGGCTACTCTTATTACCATAATACATTATGTATATAGTTGACGCTTAAATAGCTCCATGCCTGAAATTGATACTCAAATTAAATTTGACTGTTTTGTTAAATTAGCTCTTGGCTAATGATTATTTGAGCTAGCAGATCTAGTTTACAACTATAAGTGATCATGCATGCCTTACATGTAGTTTGAAATTTTAAGTGTGATGTACAATAATGCCAAGAAAAAGCCTCTAATAATTTGTTTAATACAGATAGACATGCAGACACATCTGGCAAACACATACACAATTAAAAATAACTAAAAATCAATCAAACAAACTAATGAAAAAAACAAACTAATGAACAACAAACTAGTCAAACTACCTAAAACTATATTTAAATTGTTATTGCTCGTGCAATATCTAATAACTTGGCTGCTGCTTCAAAGCTGTAATAACAACTTCAATTTTTTTCTCAATTTCAGTTTTGAAGGCATTAAGTTTAGCTCGTTCATCTCCAATGGCCCCTTCAATTCGAAGCTTCACGACGTCACATTGTTTCTCCAAGACCTTAGCATAGTTTTGTTGTGATATGCCAAGTTGCTGGAATTCAGTAATTTTGTCACTTAGCTCCTGCAGAAGGCTATTTTTGATACGCAATAAGCCCTTCCTTTTCTCCTGAAGCCCTTGTCGTAGTACATTAGCCATTCCTCTCATGTCTTTTGCTTGTCGAAATCTAGACTTCATTTCTTCATCAATGAACTCCCTTTCTTCACTGAATTTTTCAAATATAACTTCATTATGGTAGTGATGACGATAGCTATGACCGCATTTTTTACATGTTCCTGTTTCATCCATGCACGAACAGGTCTTAAAGATTGCTTGGTCATAAGATTTGGCAAGGTTACATGGTATATGGCAATTAGAGTAACATCCTGGTGCACCACAGAGTGTGTTATGACGTTTTTCAGGTGTTTTAACTGGTTTGATGACCTCCACTTTTCTTGTTGTCTTAAAATCTGTATAAAGGCTCTCTGTCCTCAACGCAGCATCAACTTCTTCTTCTTGAATTTTGATTTGTTTTTCTAAATCTGTTTGCTCATCATAAGAAGCGAGAATTTTGATAACATCTTTTTCTATCTCTTGCTTTTTTTCAAAAAGCTCTATGAAATGAAAAGTATGAACATCCTTAAAATCTTTGATCGTGTCACGCATCAATTGAAGGCTTGCAGCTGTGTCTGAGAATGACTTTTCTAAGCTCCTGGCAATCTGATCATTTGAAAGCTGTGTGGCCTTTTGTTTGGCCTTCTCAATCCTGCAGTAAGGGTTTTCGATGTAAAAATGATGATGAACTTTTTTGTCAAAGAGACTTTCTAATTCATGCAGATCAAAATTGCAATCAAGAGGATCTGCAGTGTTTGTGAAGACTACAATGATGTTGTCAAAAACTTCTTTGGGCAGAATTGTGCTGATTTCACTTAAGACATATTTGAGACTAGCACTCATTCGAGCTTGGCGACCATTGACAACAAGGCAAACACAATTGATATAGTCTTCTTTCTTCAATGCGTCGATAATTTTTTGGACATTTTCTTTATCTTTTTCCAGCCCCCTTGAATCTCCAAACCCAGGCGTATCAATTACTGTGATCTTCAAATCACATATTTCAGCTTTGTAATGCTTAGCGTCACTTGTTTTACTCTCCATTTGGTGCGAGGATGAATTTTCAATTTTCAAGTCATGGTACTGCTGGATCTGACTAAGTTTGCCTCCATCAACGCGCGCTCCCAACTCCTCAATTAGATTGCTGTTACAGAGAAGGTTTAAAAACGAAGTTTTTCCAGAACCAGTTTCACCAATCAGTAGCATTCTAAACTTATGTCGCCAAAACATTGATTTAATCTTGGCGAAGTAGCCTTTTGCTTCCTCTGCAACAACACTACCAGCAGCCACGACCGACCTACCAACAGTAGACAACACAGTAGCCATTCTTTTCTCTTCGTGGTGCGGACTAAAACAGTGTACGCTCAGTCTACTATGCATGGTTCCTACATAGATGCGTATATATACATATACACTATCATACAGGTGCGTCATAATTACTTCCGTATAGTAACCAGGATATTGGAATGGTTTGGATGGTTAATTTTATTTTATTAATAACTATCCAGGATTCAGCTAATGAAGTAGTTTAGTACTGGTGGTCAACCTGGGATGTGCCCAGTAGTTAGTACCCAGTAGTCTCCTGCGCCGACTCCTCGAAACTAGTGCCAGGCAGCTAGCATAAAAATAGAATGTATAAAAAATAAATAAGTCAAAGTTAAATTACCAGTAGTAATTTGGGTGAAAATTCGAGGTAGGAGGAGGGACAAAACATTGAGAGCAAGGGCAATGTAGATGGGTCAAAGTGTTGTATGAAGTGAGACCAATAAAATTGTTTGATACACTTAATTATGGTGGTTAAAGGTATTCAGTTCTGGGTCAAAGGAGGACAGCATATTCCATAATCTTGGCAAAGGTTGAAATAAAAATGTCTCATTTAATTACTGATTGGAAGACAGATTGTGTTGTAATCTAAGTTTAGTAGAGGAATGGGTATAGGCTAGAAGTGGAGAAGGTAACATAATCCACTGAAAGAATAGTGAGAAGAGTGAGAGGGGGAGTGAAGTGATTTTAGGAAGAATGTGATATCTGCTATCTCAAAAGCCATATATAGATAGGGAAAGTAGATCAAGGGTAATCAGACGTGATTTATAGTCAGAGGTGTATAGTCATGCATTAAAATATACTGTGGCCATTTAAATTATACTCCAGCATTACAACATGTTTGATAAAATGAGGCCCTATATAATAGAACAATATATAACTGACTGGACCATAACAAATACAACTGTTTCTTGATGTGAACAGGAAGAGTTGAGGAGAAAGTCCTAAATATGAGACCTATGCTTTAGATGTTATAAAGATAATGTGATCCTCCCAAGATAAAGTTGATGAGAGAATAACACCAATTAAGGTCTCAATGAATAATAACTGTAGGAATCAGTTTATTGTTAAGATAATAGGAAGGAGACTGAGCCTGTGTTTTAGCACTCAAAAACCTCGGTGACATTCTGAGTCATTGAAGTGCATTCCGTTAATCAAACTCCACTGACATAAAGCATCAAGGTTGCATTGGAAAGTGACAGAAGAGAGTAAGGAAATGGCATGAATGCATTTAGTGTCATCAGCAAAAAAGTAGATGAGAAAAAAGGAAAAGAAATGAGAAGGAATTATTACCACTTATTAAAAAGTAAAGTGCATACTGGGTATTAATTTTATTAAAAAATGAATCTATAAATGGATGTATAAATTACTATTATTGCTATTTGCTACACTAAATTTTTGATTTTTTTGTACTTTTACAGATGGTGAAGCATTTCATAACAACTGATAGAAGTCATCAGGAAAAACCAGTCATGGAAAGAGCATTATCATAAGAACTCCCCTGTGTGTATTATATCATGCACAAACCAAACAATTATAATTAATTTACCAAACAATTATCATTCATTCAACAAATCTGTGAACTATAATAACGTCATTGACACACATACTAAATTTAACCAGATTCACGTCACTCCTCTTTATAGTAATTACAATGTATCTTACCTGAAGCAAAAGCAACAGCATAGTGCCCGCCATTAGTTGCCATATCAAGAGAATGAATTCTTTCATTTACTTTACAAGTATAATTTACTTTAGAATCCTCTAAACTAAACAAGGTACAATTTCCTGACAATTAATAAATTAAAAAATTATTAATTAGAAAAGTACATGTGTTTACCATTAGCGTCACAATGACATCCCATTGAGTTACAGAGAGCAGAACATGTGGGAGTGGCTCTAGTGGGAGGGGCTAATACTGACTCCTTAGTTGATAGGGACCACAAATGACATACACCAGTACTGTAACTGGAAACAAAGAATAAGCAATAATATATTGTATGTATTCAAAATGTAAAGAAAAACTATCAAAACATAAAATTAATTTTGTTAAAAAGTATTACGTTTTGGCAAAATTATTTCTTTGTCCAGAAATCTCAAAGTCAAAATTTTGGCAATTTTTCAAACTTTACTCTGCCTTAATCTTTCAGCAGCTACAATGTATTTCATTAAATGCTACACAAAAGAATAGTACATTCTAGTTGTACTGTACATGTACACATGTATATGTACATGTATGGGTAAGACGCTAGTGTGAATAGTACAATAATTGTAATAACATGTAATACATGCACTCATTCTTACCAGGCCAGCACTTCTCTATTATGATAAGTAGCAGTGCATAAAGATCCTATAGAGCTGGTTGGCTTATGTACTGTCACTGTACACACTCTTTCCTAATAATTACAATTGAGAAAGGGACAGAGGGAGGAAAGTAAGAGCATTCACAAAAATGGACAAGTGTGGGGCCATACAATGTACATGTATGAATTTCTTAAAGTTACTCAAAAATGGGTCAAAGCCACTGTACTATAGCACAGGGTTTACTAGACTAACACTATAGAGCCTGGGATACCCTGAGCATAATGAAACTGTAACGTAATGAAACTGTAATCATACATGTGCATGTACATGTATAATTAATTATCATAACTAATAATTACTAGTGCTTACCATCCAGTTCTGTTGTACTTGCTTCCTATGTAATATCAGCTCCTTTACTACCGTCTTCCAATGAATGACCTGATCCTTTACTAGCTCTGTACTGTATCCCATTCTCCTACAAACTGCTATCCATAATAAATTATCTTCTGCCAGTGCAGCCCAGCTACGACTCACCTACATTATGTACCACAACACTGCATTAAACATTAGCCTATTCTAACATGGAGATAATTTACTATAACTGTATAGTGGGTTTCTTTTTTCAGGTTGAATTTTTCTGAGAAATTCAATTTTGTAGGCTTTATTGTTGTTTTTTTTTTTGATAGGACCATGCTCATCTACTCAATGTCTTTTTTTGTAAATAATTTTTGTTCTTGTAGCTTAGAAAATAAAAAGAATAAATGTTTGGTTGAACAAAAGAAACCTACTATATGATACTCAATAAATCACTAAACTAAAAATTTAATACATTGTATTTCAAGTACTATACACAGTAGTATATTATACAGTAAGCACAATTAAAGTATCATTATTTGTAACTCACTTGAGCACAGTGGCATAAATCGACGACAGATAAATAATTAAATATCAGGAGAGCAAGCTCTCTTGGAAGTTGTACTTCAAAGAAAGGAACTGTGTTCATTTCATCCTACATGAATTTAAAAATTGCACATGTACCGTACATGCACAGGACAAATGATGATTAATTGAATCATTTTTATTCAAGCTCAGTACAATAAGTGTAGTACTAATAAGTACCGGTACATGGATTAAATTTAACATCCAACTATTTCTCCGTCCATTTCTGTGGAGATTCTAATGGATGCTGGTTAAATTATAACAATTTTTTCGTACTCACTAAACTAATTACTTACCAAATCTGTTATTAATGTGTCAATTAAACTGTTCTGTGACTTTATCTTAATAGTAGATGAAGATGAATGAACTTGGGAATGCACACCGCCAGCCTTGCTAAATGTAGCTGAACTACCAGTAGGCAACGTCCCTCCAGCTGGTAAAACAAACAAAGAAGGTCCTCCTATCACAGCAGACGAGGTAGAGCTTTCATGAGAAGAGGCGTTAAAATTAACTCTATTTAGTTCAACAACAGTGTCATCCGAGGTGTCATCACAGCTTGCGGGCATTTGACAATAATGCTTCCTAGCTGGCTCTTCTATCGCCTCATCCTTCGCACCCTCCTTTGCTCCAGTATTTAGATCTAACTGAGCTCGCTTCGCCTTCAGTTCAGTCTTCCATTCACTCAGAAACTGATCCAAGACTTCTGTGCTTTCCGAGGTACTTTCGGAATCCATTTTATTGTTGGGAGGTGGTGTCTGTATTGGACTGCACTGCCCACATTAAATTAAAGGAATTTAATTTTTGTTTAAAAAAATACTTTATTTGCTAAATTGAACAAAAACTACTCTAGCTGATACAAAATGCTACTCTAGTCAAAACTAATAAAAATAAAAGCCTATAAATTTACAAACAACAATTGTCCTTGTCCTTGTCCTTTAAAATTTGAGCCCACTTAACTGCAATAGCAATAGAACTAGTTGCATGCAAGGTAGCTACCAGCACTCACTGCACTACAACCAGCAGTAGCAGCAGAGCAAGCTGGTGCAGTTACTCCCCATGTAAAGAATGTACTGACCCAACACCCAGCAGCTCCAGTATAACACACTCCTGTGCCAATCTTGCTACCAGTACATGCATCCTCAACTTCAACCTTCCCAATAGCTTTTGAGGATACCTTATCAGTGCAAACTAGCTCAGTATCAGGAGATTTAGAAGAAGGGCACACACGAGTGAGTGTGTGCACGTAATTAGCAGAGCTACATGTAACTTCCATACTGAAACCAAGTTGATCGGAGAATATTATAGCTTCTGGCATTTCCATCACTTTGTAGCTGAGTTTGGTTTGAGAGCACGTTTTATCCAGTACTTCTATTGAGGTAGTGGTCAGCTGGGCAGTCTGAGTGCATCGCTTGTCACCAATGTCTACAAGTACCTCTAGCAGGTCTTTCTTCTTTATCTCAATGACAGGTGGATCAGTGGCAGTAATACTTTTCTTTGTGCTGCTCTGGAGGTCTGCTTCAATCTTTGCTTCATTATTAAGTTCCTCGTATTGTGATGCAAGTATTTCCCGTTCATTTTGTTTCACATTGTAATACGAACGAATGATCCACTTGTTCATTATAACCTTAACCAACAGGTTGTCAATTTTCTTTTCTCTTGGTGCTATGGCAAAAGCGTACGATCCAGAAGCCCTCTCATTGCAGCTGCTAAATTTTATAGCACCAGTGAATGTTTTGCCATCTTGAAATGAAGAGAAAGATTTCCTTATTAAGTAATTGTGTGCAACAATAATAGCATCATAAGCTAGCAGTGCATGCTTTGTTAGTGGTAGTCCTTTGGAACAGAGGTAATGGCGCAATTTGTGTTCTTCTTTCTTTGTATCAGACTCACTGTCATAATTTCCAGCAAAACTAAGTCCAAAGATGTCAACATTTTGTGGCGTTTCAATTTTTGAGAGAGTGAGGGAGTCAGAGAGAAGCCAGAGATGACGTAGTAGATTAGGATTTTTAGCTGCAGTTTGAATTATACCCTCAACTTCACCGTATCCAGAAAAGACTATCATTGACCTCTCATGCCTTGCTAATGAAGCATTAAGGTGATTCACTAACTGCCCAAAATGTGAACTTGTCAAGACTTGATCAGTGTCATAAAAAATAGGATTGAGGACTTTAAAGCCATCTTTGTTTTCAAATTTTTGATGTACATCATTGAAAAGTCCTTTTCCGTGAGCATCGTTACGTAGTACCATTTGAATTGGAAGCTCTCTTGCATTCTTTGTCTTAGCATCAAATGCCAAGTCAAAAAGTACTTGAGCATAGCCACGGTCATCCATAGAAAGTCTATAGAGTTGTTTGTATTTGCAGAGATTAGTGGCAGTGCTGGTTGGACTGATCAGTATGGCATCTTTTGCATACATTGAGGCATGTTTTGCAACAGCTTCAGCCTCAGCACTGGTGACAAGACCAATGAATACCCTTACTCCTTCTTCATACATCTCCTTGAAACCTTGCACAGCTGAAGCAGGATTTGAATGAGTATTATAGCTCCTAACTCGAGGTGCTCTGCAGGATCCCTTACAAGAGCGGCTTAAGTCTTGAGAAGACTTCATGAAACTTGCTCGAACAATCCTGCCAACATGACTGGCATGTCCTGATAAAGGAACTAAAGCTCCAACAGTGAGGTCATCACCTAAAAAAGAATAGATACGACACAAATCACAATAATTTTATTAAATAGCATGTAAAACATTCTAAGGGCCCAGTGCATACCCATAATATCACTAAAGAAGTCTTCACTCTCTTCCACTCTATAGCCTTCATATCCAAACTGAGCACAGCTAGCATAAGTCAGTGCAATGAAAAATATGGCAACAGAAAAATACTTCATTTTGTAAATCTGATTGCTTGCCACAAACTGTCGAGCAGCCTCTTTTTATATAAATCTGGATCAGATATGAATGTAAATAAATGATACAATTATACAAACATGTGTAGCCTTATGCTAATTTTCATTTTAATACTAAATAATAATATTAATTAAATTATAGCTTATATTTCTAAAAATAAGCGCATCCCATTGGTACAAGAAATCATGTTTTGCATGATTTCTTGTAACCAACCGAGGCATTGGTTATCAGTTATCACATAAACACTGTTAGTACAATTTCACTTTCGACATGGTTATCATACAGTTGTTTTAAAATAAATGCATAAATTACAAAATGTTTGTTATGCTACATGCATCACACTTTCTATTTATCACAGATTGCAAGATGTTTGTTATGACTAAAATGCAAAAGTTTCTATTTATAAAATTATTACTGTTGGCACAAGAAATCATATTTTGCTTTTAATAATCACAGTTTAAGAAATTGATAATAATGAGCCTGTATATATCACACTCTTTCTTGTCAGTACTAATCTGTTTTGGCAATGACCAAGATATCTCCAGTATTTTTGATAAGGCAAATACGTCTCTAAATTGTAGCTTTATCATTGTCAAAACTTTCTTTTTAGAATTAATAAATGTGCAACTTCTTGCATCAAATCAACAGGAAGCATTAAAAATCATTAACAGTTTTTATTTACAAAAAGGGGCTAGAGTACATATTGAAGAGCAACAAGTAGTGTAATGATACAGTCAGTGTTATTTTGGGAAAAAAATTGAATTTAATTCCGACAAATAATTTTCCAGTCATGGGCATTATAAAATTAGCCAATTATAGTTTACTACTGGAATATCTTTTCTAAGCACCATTAGCAAAGTTAACATTACCTTTCGTCTTCTCCTCCTGATATCAGTCAATCATTCTGACCTCTGTCAAATTATAAGGAGCAGATCTTTTTAAGGTTTCTTGAATAGCTTTCATTAGTGACACCAGAAATAAAATCAAAGAGATGGACTTGGATGAAGACGATGAAGAGCCTTCATTAACAATCAACCTATCAAAAATATATTCATTCAAATGGAAAATTGTCTCCTATTCATTTTTTTGAAACACCATGGACTAGCCCATGCATGGTCTTTGCCCAAGTTTTATGCATAAATTTTAAAAATTCATTAAAAATCTAATTCTAATTTAAACTTTCTACACAACATAAAAACACTTATATGTATCAAAAAATTTACAAAATGGGAAACTTCTACTTAGCCATTTTTGCTAAAATTTGGTCTGAGACAATTTGCTATAGTACAGGGACTTTGGTCCAATTTTTGAGCGTTTAAAAATTCATTAAAAATTCAACTTTGATTGAAATCAACTCAAACTTTCTACGCAACATAAACACTTATATGTATCAGAAAAATTATAAAAACAGCAAATTTTCATCTAGCCATTTTTGGCAAAATTTGGCTTACAGGAGCTTTGGCCCAATTTTTGAGCAACTTTAAAAATTCTTTTAAAATGGAAATTTGATCAAAATCAGCTCAAAATTTCTGCACAACAGAAAAACATTTATACGTGTTACAATAAATTATATATTAAAAAAAAAACTGTCTGCTATATAGTTATTTTTTATTAAATACCTTGTACTATACATGTATGTATATATAGATCTAGCCCATGGTCTTTTAAAAATCCAATTATTGATCAAATGCAACCCAAATACAGTACAGTATAGCTGCTCATCATCATCAAACCAGTGATGCAGTTTCATCCATTTTGATTCTGGGCGTTGTCAGCATACTCAGCAAATTACTACAGTCCACAGTAATCACACAAAAAATCCAATGAATTTACTTTCATCAGCAATGATTCTTATTGAAAGCGTTCAGTGGAGTAAACAAGTAGACTACACGCCCCTGGCCCAGTCTACTTAAAAGTATCAGGATGAATGTAGATGAGGATAAAACCAATCTTTATGAAGTCAATGAGCTAACTGAGTACAATGGAAGTGGATTCTCAAACCTTCCTGAGTATACTCAAAAGGAGAGAAATGATTCTAACAAATGGAAATTGCTCCTCGTTTGCCTACTCGTTGCCATTCTCTTCATTAACATCATCATATTTCTCATGACAGCTGTGAACCTGTATTATGCTAGTACTGCAGTACCTGCAGCCTGTCAGACTCAGAACAGCTCCACTGCTGCCTCCACTGGATCTCTTACAAGCAGTGAGGGTCCTCTCAACAACTGCAGCATTGTGAATAGCACATGGACAGACAACTTGATGAGGTACAACATGGCAATGGAAAATAACGTCAACCGCCTTATTAATGCAACACTCAGCAATGCTCGAAAAATCGACGATATTGCCATGTCTACGGATCAGCAAAGCTCTGTTGTTGAGAACAATACGTACACTCTTGATGATATCTTGAATATAACCAATGATGCAACAAGAATGCTCACTGGGATAATCCATTCATTAGCGACTCACGACAGCACTCTGATATCTACTTC